AGAGGACGAGTAGAAGGAACGCTTTCAACTAGTACTATTCCAACATTTATTTTTCCTGCTGGGTCTTTACCGACCGAGGGTGATAGTCAGAAGGACATAGATTCGACTCTTATTGGAAGCACTCGGATTTCTTCTTCCGACCCGCCTGTGTCACAAATTGAAAAATCATGTTCAAAATATGGTGTACATTTAAACGTTTAATTTCATGAAGTAATTGATTATTTTTTAACTTTCTTACTGGGACAAAAAACCAACAAAGCCTTACGATTAAAGATCAAGTATTTATTTAAGCCAGGCCCTTTGTTCATTAGAATGATATGCCAAAATTGCTTTTTAAAAAACAGGTTCAGTGACAACAATAGACGCAACTACCTATAGCTTGTCTACCAGAGTATTCAGAAGTGCATCGGCCTCCACCTCTACCAGCAAGGTACCCAAAAACACGACCTCAAGCGCTGCTCATGTGTCAACCTATGTCGCGAATGGTGTCTTCATCTCTACCCTAACTAGTGTCACAGCGAGTAAATCAACTTCAGCCTCTACCAGCGTGTCAGCCACTGTGTCTACAAGTGTCCTGACCTTTGCCTCGAATTATGAGACGCCAAGTAACGCGAACGTTTCCTCTGTTAACTTTCCAGTCAGTGTTTCAGGGACTGCCTCGTTCTTAACCCAGACCAATGCCTTACCCAGTAAGTCGACCTCTACTGCTGCTATCTTGTTAACGAATGTGTCGCCAGCCGTCTTGCCCTATCACCCTGACAGTCTAGCGCTCACTTACTCGACTTCTTCCTCCACTACCCTGTCAGCTAGTGTGTCGCCAGCATTTTTTGTCTCTACGTCAACAATCTGGACGCCGCGTATTTCGACCTCTGCCTTGGCTAACGTCTCATTCAGTACATCGCTAAGTGCCTCCGCCTTTGCTACCGCTAGTGTTCCACAAAGTAAATTCACTTCCACATCTGATAACAGTGCTTTGCCAAGTTTCTCGGTCTTTACCCCGATCAATGCAACGCCCTGTAACTCAACCTATACATCAGTGAACTTGTCAACTAGCCCGTCGTTGTCACGTGTCTCGGTCGCCACGTTGATCAGTATGACGCGCATTAACTCCACCTCTACCTCAGCTAACTTGTCAACCAGTGTGTCACCAGGCGTCTCCGTTTCTAGACCGACCAGTGGTACTCAGAGTATATCGACCTCTCCCTCTCTTGACTTCTCAATAAGTGCGACACCAAATGTCCTGGTATTAACCCCGACCAGTTTGACGAACAGTAACTCAAACTCTACTTCTGTCAACTTGTCAACCAGTGCGTCGCCAAGTGACTCGGGTACTTCATCGACCAGATTACTGCGCAGTAACCCGACCTCTTCATCAAGAAACTTTACAACCAGAGCTTCACCAAGTGGCTCGGTCTCTATCGTGCCCAGTAACTCCAACTCTTCCTCTACTACGTTATCGAACAGTACATCGCCAAGTTTCCTGTCCCTGAATTCAACAATAGTGACGTTCAGTCACTCAACCCCTACCACAGCTAACTTGCCGTCCACCAAATCGCTAAGTGTTTCGGTCGTCACATCGATTAGTTTGACGCCCCGTAACACGACCTCTCCGTCTTCTTATATGTCAAACATTGAGTCCCCAAATGTCTTGGCATTCACACCTTCTCGTTTCATGCCCAGCAACTCGACCTCTCCCTCAACTAACTTGTCAACCAGTTCGTTACCAAGTGTCTCGGCAACAACGCCGGTCAGTCCGACGAACAGCAACTCAAACTATTCCTTTGCCAACTTGTCAACCATTTCATCAGCAAACGTCTCGGCTACCACACTGATCAATTTGAGGCAAAGTGACTTGACCTCTACCTCAACTATATTATCAATCAGTGTGTCGTTAAGTATCTGGGCCGCCACTTCGACTAGTTTGACGCTCGGTTACTCGACCAGTGACTCAGAATATACCAAAGCCAGTGTGACACGCAGTCGGTCAAACAGTACCTCTTATAAATTGCCAAAGAGTACTTCGCCAAGAGCATCCGTCCTGAGTGTCATGCCCAGTAAATTGACCTCTAACTCTACTACCCTGTCAACCACTGCTGTCCCAAGTGCACTTTCTTTTACTTCCATCAGATTGGCCTTGACGCCAACCAGTTCGACACTTAGAAGCCCGACCTCTAATTCAGCTGATGTTTTAGCCAGTGCGTCATCGAGGCTCTCAGCATCAACCCGGACAAGTTTGACAGCACGTTTGACAAACAACAACTCGACCACTACATATCCTAACTTTTCAACCAGTGCTTTGCTAAGTGTCTCAGCCTTTACCTTGGCCATTGTGGCACCCAGTAACTCGACCTACACCCCAGATCTACACCTCAAATCACTTGCCAGTGCGTCATCAAGTGTCTTGGTATCTACCCGCCCGCATCTGATTAGCACCACCTCTACCTCTACACCTGCTACCTATTTAACCAGTGGTTTGCTCGGTACCTTGGCCGTTACCCCGATCAGTGTGACACCCAAAAACTCAATCTTTGCCTCAGCTAAGAATCCCAGTGCTTTTTCTGGTGTATCGACCTCCACCTTGATCAGTGTCACGCAAAGAAATTCGGCTTCTTTCTCTGCTAACCTGTCAATTATTGCGTCACCAAGTTTCTCGACATCAACTGCTACCATTGATTTAAACTCTACATCGACCAGTTTAACGCCTATCAACTTGACCGTTACCTCAACTAACCTCTCAGCAAGTGCATCGTCAATTGTCACGGCATTCACAGTTACTGGTTTGGGGCCCAAGAGCTCGACTTCTGCCTTAGCGAAATTGTCAACCATTGTGTCGCAAAGTGTATGGATTGCCACATCGAGCATTTTGACGTCCAGAAACTCTACCTTAACCTCGTCTAACTTGTCAAACAGATCTCCACAAAGTATCTCGACATCAACTCTGAACATTTTTACAAACGGAAACTCGACTTCGGCATCTGCTTACCTGTCCGCTTCTGCGTCGCCTAGTTTGACGTCTACCAACTCGACCACTACCTCAACTAACTTGTTTTTCAATGCGTCATCAAGTATGTCTACTGCCACATCGTTCACAATGACGCCCATTAACTTCAGCTCTCCCTCCGCTTCTTCTACAACGTTGCTTATTCAAGTGTGTCTGCATTCACACCGACCAGTTTGTTGCTCGGTCACTCAACTTTTACCTCAATTCACTTTTCAACCATTGCGTCACTGATTGTCTCGACACCAACGAATAGCAAATCGAACTCGACTTTTACAAACTTATCAAGCGATACGTCGCTTAGTGTATCGGCCTCCAGTTTTATTCGGAATAGCGCACCCACTTCCTCTGATAACTTGTCAGCCACTGCGTCGTCAAGTATCTTGGTATATACCCTGCCACGTTTGATGACCACCACCCTTACCTCTACGTCTGCAACCTACTCAACCAGTGGTTTGCCAGGCATCTCGGCCATTACCTCAATCAGTGTGACACCCAAAAACTCAGCAAAGACTCTCAGTGTTTTGTCTAGTGTATTGGCCTCCAGCTTGATCAGTGTTACTCAAAGTAATTCGTCTTCCTTTTCTGCTAACTTTTCAATCATAGCGTCACAAAATGTCTCGACATCAACCGCTACTACTGTTTTGTCCTCTACATCGACCAGTGTGACCCCTAGTAACTTGACCTCTACTTCAACTAGCCTGTCATCGACTGCCTCGCCAACTGTCTCGGCATTCACAGTTACTGGTTTGGGGCCCAGGAACTCGACTTCTGCCTCAGCTAAATTATCAACCATTGTGTTGCGAAGTGTTTCGGCCGCCATATCGAGTGTTTTGACGCCTAGAAACTCGCCCTCAGCCTCGTCCAACTTGTTACCCAGGTCGTCTCAAAGTGTCTCGACTTCAACCCCGATCGTTTTGACAAAAGGCAACTCGACTTTTGCTCCTGCTTACTTGTCAGCTAGTGCGTCGTCTAGTGTCTTGAATTCCTCACCGACGAGTTCAACACCTAAAAATTCGACCTCCACCTCAACTAACTTGTTCCCCAGTACGTCACTAGGTACGTCTACCTCCACATCGTTCAGAATTACGTCCAGTAACTTCAGCTCTCCCCCTGCTTTCTCGTCAAACTTTGCATCGCTAAGTGTCTCGGCATTCAAACCGACCAGTATGTTGCTTAGTCACTCGACCTCTACCTCAGATCACTTTTCAACTAGTACGTTACCAGTTGCCCGGACACCATCATCAATCAGTCCCACGAATAGCAACTCGAACTCTACTTTTGCAAACTTATCAATCGTTTCGTCGTCAAGTGTCGCGGCCTCCAATTTTATGCAGAGTAACTCGACAACTTCCTCTACTAACGTGTCAACCAGTGCGTCATCAAGTGTCTTGGTATCTACCCTGCCACGTTTGACGAGAACAACCTCTGCGTTTACGTCTGTAACTGTTGTACCTGGTGCTTTTCCAGGTGTCTCGGCTTTTACCCCGGCCAATGTGGCACCCCGTAACTGGACCTTTAGGTCAGGTAACTTAGTAAGTAGTGCCTCGCCGAATCTTTCGACATTTCCATCTATCCATTTGACGCCAATTAGCTCTACCTCTGTATCAGGTAACCTGTCAACTAGTGCATCATCAATTGTCTCGACATCAACCTCGAACAGTTTCAAGAACAGCAACTCTAAGTCTATTTTTTTGAACTTGTTAAACGTTGTGCTGCTAAGTGTCTCCGCCTCTACATTCATTAGTTTGACTCCTATTAGCTCGATTTCTACCTCTGCTATTTTGTCGAACAGTGTCTCGCTTAGTGTCTCGGCCTTTACCCCGACCAGTATAACGCCCAGTCCTTTGACTTCTACTGCTTACCTGTCAACCAGTCTGGCACCAAGTGTCCTGGCTTCCACTCTCATAAGTCTTAGGTCCAATGATTCTACCTTTACCTCTGGTAACTCGTCAACCAGTTTGTCGTTAAGTGTCTCTACTCCGACAAGTTCCATGTCCAGTTACTTGGCCTTTTCGCCGGTTAACTTATCAACTAAGGCGTCGTCAAGTGTTTCGGTCTCTAACGCAGCGATTATTGCACCCAGTACTTCGATTGCCTCCTCTGCTACCTTGTCAGGCAGAAAGTCGTCAATCATCTCGGTCTCTACCCCGGTAATTGTTGCACCCAGTAACTTGACTTCCAACAACTCTAACTTGTCAACCAGTAAGTCACCAAGTGCCTTGGTCTCCCCGATCATTTCCACGCTTAGTGATTCAACCTCTTCGTCAGCTAACTTATCAACCAGTTCGGTGCCAAGTGTCTTGGACTCTTCCCCGGCCAGTGTCATGACCAGTAACTCGATCACTAATTCTTCTAACTTAACAGCAAGTGCAATACCAAGTGTCTCGGCGTTTACTAAGGCTTTTGTGACACTCCGTTTCTCGAATTCTACTTCTGCTATCTCGCCATCAAGTGTTTTGTTACTAAGTGTCTCGGCATTCACCGTGACAAGTTTAACGCCCAGTGACTCTACCTCGACCTCTGCTAACTTGTCAACTAGAGGGTCAACAAGTGTCACCGATGGAAAAGGTAATTTCCAAACCACCTTTAAAAAAATCGTGTGTTTTCTCTGTCGGCGTTGCGTAAGGAATGGGCTCATTATATCTGTTTAGGTCAAAACCAGAAGAAAGATGCCGTTTCAAATTTTTCCAAATAAGTGTTTATGGGGCCTCGGATTCAAATGGTAAATCCTAGGAATTATACCCCTTCATTCATACTTAGGTGCTGAGTTCATATTTCATTCTCAAAAAGTAAATCATAATGATTCTGGTATTGTATGTAGCACAAACTAGACCTTATCAGGTGAAACTTTACCGGGCTGTTTAAGAGTAAATAAAATTTAGCAAAAATTACGCACCAATGACATCATAGCCAATAACATCACGGCTTAACTGACAGGCAGCCAATGACATCGCGACTTAATTGACCAATCAGGTCAATAAACAGAGTTTAATACCATCAACTGACATGATAAAACTCACTTTAAGTCTGAAGATGACTACCTCAAGGTTTTCGAAACATCAGTCAATGTCAACGAAAGTCCTATTCAGGACTATGTTCGGCAGGACCATAGAAACGAGGAAATGGTAGGTCTTATTCCCAGTTGCCTCAATTGCCTTTCTGTTCTGCCTTTCTTTGAAAATAGCAAAACGAACTGTTTAAACCGCAAATTTAGGAAAACGTAGCAAAAATAACAGCTGAAAATACATTTCTTTTTAGCGTGGCTTGCTTTAACAGGTGAAATGTATGTATTCTAGTTTCTTGTTTAACATACTAGAATCTGATCGAGAAAGGCCAATTAATGTCCCTCAGTGGAAGCCAGTGTAAGAAAATTAAAAAAAAAAAAATGAAAATCATAAGCTTTTCAACGACAGCTGTAGGTAAGTATCTAAGTTCCGACAACAAGTACGACAAAGAAGAGAGCCCTTTCCGTTTTCGTAATCGTAGTTTTATTGGAAAACAGATCATGTAGAGAAATGTGTTAAAATGTTGTATTTATTTACTTACAATCGTTTTCGAAACTGCATTTGTCAAATATCAAAAACACAGTTTCAGTGCCCATCTGTACCATCGTACAAGTAATGCTCTGAGATTGCACAACGCTTTCACACTAAAGGCGCTACTATTTTCAAATGCATACCAATATAATATATTTAAATATAATCATAAGTAATCCATGTGTTATTATGGATATCAAGCTGTATAGGTAAAAGAAGTTCGAATGTGGAAGTTTGCCTTACAAAATACTGGATCGAGCCTCATTAAACGCAAAATTATATCGGGTCAACAAAAGAAAGTTACGCACTTTTAATATAACAGAAAGCCCCACAACTCATACAAACATACAAACGAAATCAACTCTAACGTCCCAACTTGCAAACACTTTCTAATCCAAACAACAAACTGCTCAACAAAAATTTCAAATGTAGATGTCTTTTCACAACATGATCAGTTGCTTCTCAATACTTAAACCCAAAGAAGGGGTAAAAGCAGCATAAACTAAAACACGAAAAACTCTTAAAATCAACAGATGTCGAAAGCACGACAGCCTCATCGCCCAGTGTGTCGGCAAGTGTCTCGCCCTCCACCTCTGCTAGCTTCTCAGCCAGTGTGTCGACGAGTGTCTCGGCCTCCACTTCGCCCAATGGATCACCAACTGTGCCAGACTCGCTATCTTTTAGCGTTTCAGCGAGTGTGTCGACCAGTGCCTCGGCGTCTACATCGCCCAGTGTGTCGGAAAGTGTCTCGGCCTCCACCTCTGCTAGCCTTTCACCCAGTGTGTCGACGAGTGCATCGGTCTCAACATCGCCCACTCCGTCGGCAACTGTATCAGCGTCGCCATCTGCAAGCGTGCCAGCCAGTTTGTCGAGCACTGCTTCAGCGTCTATATCGCCCAGTGTGTCGGCAAGTGTCTCAGCCTCCACCTCTGCTAGCCTGTCAACCAGTTTGTCAGCAAGTGTCTCGGCCTCCACCTCCGTAAGCGTTTCAACCAGTGTGTTGACGAGGGCATCTATCTCCACATCGCCCAGTGTGTCGTCAAGTGTCTCGCCCTACACCTCTGCTACCTTGTCAGCCAGTGTGTCGACCAGTGTCTCGGCCTCCACGTCGCCCAATGTGTCAGCAAGTGTGTCAGAGTCGCTATCTGCTAGCCTTTCAGCGAGTGTGTCGACCAGTGCCTCGGCATCTACATCACCCAGTGTGTCAGAACGTGTCTCGGCCTCCACCTCTGCTAGCCTTTCAGCCAGTGTGTCGACGAGTGCATCGGTCTCAACATCGCCCAGTCCGTCGGCAACTGTATCAGCGTCGCCGTCTGCTAGCCTATCAGCGAGTTTGTCGAACAGTGCCTCGGCGGTTACATCGCCCAGTGTGTCGGCAAGTGTCTCGGCCTCCACCTCTGCTAGCTTGTCAACCAGTGTGTCTACAAGTGGCTCGGTCTCCAGTTCGCCGAGTGTGTCGGCAAGTATCTCGGCCTCCACCTCTGCAAGTCCTTCAACCAGTGTGTCGACGAGTGAATCAATCTCAACATCGCCCAGTGTGTCGGCAAGTGTCTCGCCCTCCACCTCAGCTAGCTTGTCAGCCAGTGTGTCGAACAATGTTTCGGCCTCCACGTCGCCCAACGTGTTACCAAGTGTGTCAGAGTCGCTATCTGCTAGCGTTTCAGCGAGTGTGTCGACCAGTGTCTCGGCCTCCACTTCGCCCAGTGTGTCATCAAGTGTGTCAGAGTCCCTATCTGCCACCGTTTCAGCCAGTGTGTCGACGAGTGCATCGGTCTCAACATCGCCCAGTCTGTCGCCAACTGTATCAGCGTCGCCCTCTGCTAGCGTATCAGCCAGTTTGTCGATCAGTGCCTCGGCGTCTCCATCGCCCAGTGTGTCGGCAAGTGTCTCGACGTCCACCTCTGCTAGCCTGTCAACCAGTAAGTCTACAAGTGCCTCGGCCTTTAATTGGACCAGTGTGTCGGCAAGTGTCTCGGTCTCCACCTCCGCAAGTCTTTCAACCAGTGTATCGACAAGTGCATCAATTTCTACATCGCCCAGTGTGTCGGCAAGTGTCTCGCCCTCCACCTCTGCTATCTTCTCAGCTAGTGTGTCCACCAGTGTCTCGGCCTCCACGTCGCCCAGTGTGTCACCAACTGTGTCAGAGTCAACATCTGCTAGCGTTTCAGCGAGTGTGTCGACCAGTGCCTCGGCGTCTACATCGCCCAGCTTGTCAACCAGGAAAGCCTCGGTCAATTCGCCCAGTGTGTCCATGTCTGCTACTTTCTGCAAGTCTTTTAACCAGTGTGTCGACGCATCGATCTGCATCGGTCTCAACATCGCCCTGGTAGCTTGTCGCCAGTGTGTCGACCAGTGTTATCCGCGTCGTCACAAACTGCGTCAGAGTGTATCTGCCCCGTTTTTGTCGACCAGTTCCTCTTCGTCTACATCTCCCAGTGCGTCGGAAAGTGTCTCGGTCTCCACTTCTGCTAGCTTGTCAACCAGTGTGTCTACAAGTGCCTCGGTCTCCAATTCGCCCAGTGTGTCTTTAAGTGTCTCGGCCTCTACCTCTGAAAGTCTTTCAACCAGTGTTTCGACGAGTGCATCCGTCTCAACATCGCCGAGTGTGTCGGCAACTGTATCAGCGTCGGCCTCTGCAAGCGTGTCAGCCAGTTTGTCGACCAGTGCCCACGTGCCCAGTGTATCACCCAGTGTGTCAGAGTCGTCGGTTTCCGCAAGTGCGTCGCCCAGTGTCGGCATCTTCCAGTGTGCTCTACTCTGCGTCCTTTCAGCCTTTCAGCCAGTGTGTCGACGAGTGAATCGGTCTCAACATCGCCGAGCGTGTCGGCAACTAAATCAGCGTCGCCCTCTGCAAGCGTGTCAGCCAGTATGTCGACCAGTGCCTCGGTGTCTACATCGCCCAGTGTGTCGGCAAGTGTCTCGCCCTCCACCTCTGCTAGCTTGTCCGCCAGTGTGTCGACTAGTGTCTCGGCCTCCACCTCGCCCAGTGTGTCACCAAGTGTGTCAGAGTCTTTATCTGCTAGCGTTTCAGCAAGTGTGTCGACCAGTGCCTCGGCGTCTACATCGCCCAGTGTGTCGGAAAATGTCTCGGACTCCACCTCTGCTAGCCTTTTAACCAGTGTGTCGACGAGTGCATCAGTCTCAACATCGCCCACTCTGTCGCCAACTGTATCAGCGTCGCAATCTTCTAGCGTATCAGCCATTTTGTCTATCAGTGCCTCGGCGTCTACATCGCCCAGTGTGTCGGAAGGTTTGTCGGCCTCCAGCTCTACTAGCCTTTCAGCCAGTGTGTCGACAAGTGCCTCGGTCTCCAATTCGCCCAGTGTGTCGGCAAGTGTCTCTGCCTCCACTTCCGCAAGCCTTTCAACCAGTGTATCGACGAGTGCATCGATCTCCACATCGCGCAGTGTGTCGGCAAGTGTCTCGCCCTCAGCCTCTGGTAGCTTATCAGCTAGTGTGTCGACCAGTGTTTCGGCCTCCAGGTCGCCCAAAGTGTCACCAACGGTGTCAGAGTCGCAATCTCTTACCGTTTCAGCGAGTGTGTCGACCAGTGCCTCTTCGTCTACATTGCCCAGTGTGTCGGAAAGTGTCTCGGCCTCCACCTCTGCTAGCCTGTCAACCAGTGTGTCTACAAGTGCCTCGGTCTCCAATTCCCCAAGTGTGTCAGCAAGTGTGTCTGCCTCCACTTCCGGAAGCCTTTCAACCAGTGGGTCGACGAGTGCATCGATCTCCACATCGCGAGGTGTGTCAGGAAGTGTCTCGCCCTCCACCTCTGGTAGCTTGTCAGCCAGTGTGTCGACCAGTGTTTCGGCCTCCTCGTCACCCAGTGTGACACCAACTGTGTCAGAGTCGCTATCTGCCACCGTTTCAGCGAGTGTGTCTACCAGTGCCTCTTCGTCTACATCTCCCAGTTTGTCGGAAAGTGTCTCGGCCTCCACTTCTGCTAGCTTGTCAACCAGTGTGTCTACAAGTGCCTCGGTCTCCAATTCGCCCAGTGTGTCTTTAAGTGTCTCGGCCTCTACCTCTGAAAGTCTTTCAACCAGTGTGTCGACAAGTGCATCGATCTCCACATCGCCCAGTTTTTCGGCAAGTGTCTCGCTCTCCACCTCTGCTAGCTTGTCACCCAGTGTGTCGACCAGTGACTCGGCCTCCACGTCGCCCAGTGTGTCACTAAGTGTGTCAGAGTCGCTCTCTGCAGCCGTTTCAGCGAGTGTGTCGACAACTGCCTCGGCCTCTTCATCTTCCAGTGTGTCGAAAAGTGCCTCGGTGACCACCTCTGCTAGCCTTTCAGCCAGTGTTTCGACTAGTGCATCGGTCTCAACATCGCCGAGTGTGTCGGCAACTCTATCAGCGTCGGCCTCTGCAAGCGTGTCAGCCAGTTTGTCGACCAGTGCCTCGGTGTCTACATCGCCCAGTGTGTCGGCAAGTGTGTCGGCCTCCAGCTCTACTAGCCTTTCAGCCAGTGTGTCTACAAGTGCCTCGGTCTCCAATTCGCGCAGTGTGTCGGCAAGTGTCTCTGCCTCCATTACCGGAAGCCTTTCAACCAGTGTGTCGACGAGTGCATCGATCTCCACATCGCGAGGTGTGTCAGGAAGTGTCTCGCCCTCCACCTCTGGTAGCTTGTCAGCCAGTGTGTCGACCAGTGTTTCGGCCTCCTCGTCACCCAGTGTGACACCAACTGTGTCAGAGTCGCTATCTGCCACCGTTTCAGCGAGTGTGTCTACCAGTGCCTCTTCGTCTACATCTCCCAGTTTGTCGGAAAGTGTCTCGGCCTCCACTTCTGCTAGCTTGTCAACCAGTGTGTCTACAAGTGCCTCGGACTCCAATTCACCCACTGTGTCTTTAAGTGTCTCGGCCTCTACCTCTGCAAGTCTTTCAACCAGTGTTTCGACAAGTGCATCGATCTCCACATCGCCTAGTGTGTCGGCAAGTGTCTCGCTCTCCACCTCTGCTAGCTTGTCAGCGAGTCTGTCGACCAGTGTCTTGCCCTCCACTTCGCCCAGTGTGTCATCAAGTGTGTCAGAGTCGCTATCTGCTAGCGTTTCAGCGAGTGTTTCGACCAGTGCCTCGGCGTCTACATCTTCCAGTGTGTCGGAAAATGTCTCGGCGTCCACCTCTACTAGCCTTTCAACCAGTGTCTCGACAAGTGCATCGGTCTCAACGTCGCCGAGTGTGTCGGCAACTGTATCAGCGTCGCTCTCTGCAAGCGTGTCAGTCAGTTTGTCGACCAGTGCCTCGGTGTCTACATTGCCCAGTGTCTCGGCAAGTTTGTCGGCCTCCAGCTCTACTAGCCTTTCAGCCAGTGTGTCTACAATTGCATCGGTCTCCAATTCGCCCAGTGTGTCGGCAAGTGTCTCTACCTCCACTTCCGGAAGCCTTTCAACCAGTGTGTCGACGAGTGCATCGATCTCCACATCGCCCAGTGTGTCGGCAAGTGTCTCGCCCTCCACCTCTGGTAGCTTGTCAGTCAGTGTGTCGACCAGTGTTTCGGCCTCCTCGTCGCCCAGTGTCTCACCAACTTTGTCAGAGTCGCTATCTGCCACCGTTTCAGCGAGTGTGTCGACCAGTGCCTCTTCGTCTACATCTCCCAGTGTGTCAGAAAGTGTGTCGGTCTCCACTTCTGCTAGCTTGTCAACCAGTGTGTCTACAAGTGCCTCGGTCTCTAATTCGCCCAGCGTGTCTTTAAGTGTCTCGGCCTCTACCTCTGAAAGTCTTTCAACCAGTGTGTCGACAAGTGCATCGATCTCCACATCGCCCAGTTTTTCGGCAAGTGTCTCGCTCTCCACCTCTGCTAGCTTGTCAGCCAGTGTGTCGACCAGTGTCTCGGCCTCCACGTCGCCCAGTATATCACTAAGTGTGTCAGAGTCGCTATCTGCTAGCGTTTCAGCGAGTGTGTCGACAACTGCCTCGGCCTCTTCATCTTCCAGTGTGTCGAAAAGTGCCTCGGTGACCACCTCTGCTAGCCTTTCAGCCAGTGTTTCGACTAGTGCATCGGTCTCAACATCGCCGAGTGTGTCGGCAACTCTATCAGCGTCGGCCTCTGTAAGCGTGTCAGCCAGTTTGTCGACCAGTGCCTCGGTGTCTACATCGCCCAGTGTGTCGGCAAGTGTGTCGGCCTCCAGCTCTACTAGCCTTTCAGCCAGTGTGTCTACAAGTGCCTCGGTCTCCAATTCGCCCAGTGTGTCGGCAAGTGTCTCTGCCTCCACTTCCGGAAGCCTTTCAACCAGTGTGTCGACGAGTGCATCGATCTCCACATCGCCCAGTGTGTCGGCAAGTGTCTCGCCCTCCACCTCTGGTAGCTTGTCAGCCAGTGTGTCGACCAGTGTTTCGGCGTCCTCGTCGCCCAGTGTGTCACCAACTGTGTCAGAGTCGCCATCTGCCACCGTTTCAGCGAGTGTGTCGACCAGTGCCTCTTCGTCTACATCTCCCAGTGTGTCAGAAAGTGTCTCGGTCTCCACTTCTGCTAGCTTGTCAACCAGTGTGTCTACAAGTGCCTTGGTCTCTAATTCGCCCAGCGTGTCTTTAAGTGTCTCGGCCTCTACCTCTGAAAGTCTTTCAACCAGTGTGTCGACAAGTACATCGATCTCCACATCGCCCAGTTTTTCGGCAAGTGTCTCGCTCTCCACCTCTGCTAGCTTGTCAGCCAGTGTGTCGACCAGTGTCTCGGCCTCCACGTCGCCCAGTGTATCACTAAGTGTGTCAGAGTCGCTATCTGCTAGCGTTTCAGCGAGTGTGTCGACAACTGCCTCGGCCTCTTCATCTTCCAGTGTGTCGGAAAGTGTCTCGGCGACCACCTCTGCTAGCCTTTCAGCCAGTGTGTCGACGAGTGCATCGGTCTCAACATCGCCGAGTGTGTCGGCAACTGTATCAGCGTCGCCCTCTGCAAGCGTGTCAGCCAGTTTGTCGACCAGTGCCTCGGTGTCTACATCGCCCAGTGTGTCGGCAAGTGTGTCGGCCTCCAGCTCTACTAGCCTTTCAGCCAGTGTGTCTACAAGTGCCTCGGTCTCCAATTCGCCCAGTGTGTCGGCAAGTGTCTCTGCCTCCACTTCCGGAAGCCTTTCAACCAGTGTGTCGACGAGTGCATCGATCTCCACATCGCCCAGTGTGTCGGCAAGTGTCTCGCCCTCCACCTCTGGTAGCTTGTCAGCCAGTGTGTCGACCAGTGTTTCGGCCTCCTCGTCGCCCAGTGTGTCACCAACTGTGTCAGAGTCGCTATCTGCCACCGTTTCAGCGAGTGTGTCGACCAGTGCCTCTTCGTCTACATCTCCCAGTGTGTCGGAAAGTGTCTCGGTCTCCACTTCTGCTAGCTTGTCAACCAGTGTGTCTACAAGTGCCTCGGTCTCCAATTCGCCCAGTGTGTCTTTAAGTGTCTCGGCCTCTACCTCTGAAAGTCTTTCAACCAGTGTGTCGACAAGTGCATCGATCTCCACATCGCCCAGTGTGTCGGCAAGTGTCTCGCTCTCCACCTCTGCTAGCTTGTCAGCCAGTGTTTCGACCAGTGTCTTGGCCTCCACGTCGTTTAGTGTGTCACTAAGTGTGTCAGAGCCGCTATCTTTTAGCGTTTCAGGGAGTGTGTCGACCAGTGCTTCGGCGTCTATATCGCCCAGTGTGTCGGAAAGTTTCTCGTCGTCCACCTCTGCTAGCCTTTCAGCCAGTGTTTCGACGAGTGCATCGGTCTCAACATCGCCGAGTGTGTCGGCAACTGTATCAGCGTCGCCCTCTGCAAGCGTGTCAGCCAGTTTGTCGACCAGTGCCTCGGTATCTACATCGCCCAGTGTGTCCGCAAGTGTGTCGGCCTCCAGCTCTACTAGCCTTTCAGCCAGTGTGTCTACAAGTGCCTCGGTCTCCAATTCGCCCAGTGTGTCGGCAAGTGTCTCTGCCTCCACTTCCGGAAGCCTTTCAACCAGTGTGTCGACGAGTGCATCGATCTCCACATCGCCCAGTGTGTCGGCAAGTGTCTCGCCCTCCACCTCTGGTAGCTTGTCAGCCAGTGTGTCGACCAGTGTTTCGGCGTCCTTGTCGCCCAGTGTGTCACCAACTCTGTCAGAGTCGCTATCTGCCACCGTTTCAGCGAGTGTGTCGACCAGTGCCTCTTCGTCTACATCTCCCAGTGTGTCGGAAAGTGTCTCGGTCTCCACTTCTGCTAGCTTGTCAACCAGTGTGTCTACAAGTGCCTCGGTCTCCAATTCGCCCAGTGTGTCTTTAAGTGTCTCGGCCTCTACCGCTGAAAGTCTTTCAACCAGTGTGTCGACAAGTGCATCGATCTCCACATCGCCCAGTGTGTCGGCAAGTTTCTCGCTCTCCACCTCTGCTAGCTTGTCAGCCAGTGTTTCGACCAGTGTCTTGGCCTCCACGTCGTTTAGTGTGTCACTAAGTGTGTCAGAGTCGCTATCTTTTAGCGTTTCAGTGAGTGTGTCGACCAGTGCTTCGGCGTCTATATCGCCCAGTGTGTCGGAAAGTTTCTCGTCGTCCACCTCTGCTAGCCTTTCAGCCAGTGTGTCGACGAGTTTATCGGTCTTAACATCGCCGAGTGTGTCGGCAACTGTATCAGTTTCGTCCTCTGCAATCGTGTCAGCCAGTTTGTCGACTAGTGCCTCGGTGTCTATATCGCCCAGTGTGTCGGCAAGTGTGTCGGCCTCCAGCTCTACTAGCCTTTCAGCCAGTGTGTCTACAAGTGCCTCGGTCTCCAATTCGCCCAGTGTGTCGGCAAGTGTCTCTGCCTCCACTTCGGCAAGCCTTTCAACCAGTGTGTCGACGAGTGCATCGATCTCCACATCGCCCAGTGTGTCGGCAACTGTCTCTCCCTTGACCTCTGCTATCTTCTTAGCCAGTGTGTCCAGCAGTTTCTCGGCCTCCACGTCGCCCAGTGTGTCACCAACTGTATCAGAGTCGGTAGCTGCCACCGTTTCAGCGAGTGTGTCGACCAGTGCCTCGGCGTCTACATCTCTCAGTGTGTCGGAAAGTGTCTCGGTCTCCACTTCTGCTAGCTTGTCAACCAGTGTGTCTACAAGTGCCTCGGTCTCCAATTCGCCCAGTGTGTCTTTAAGTGTCTCGGCCTCTACCTCTGAAAGTCTTTCAACCAGTGTGTCGACAAGTGCGTCGATCTCCACATCGCCCAGTTTTTCGGCAAGTGTCTCGCTCTCCACCTCTGCTAGCTTGTCAGCCTTTGTGTCGACCAGTGTCTCGGCCTCCATGTCGCCCAGTGTGTCACTAAGTGTGTCAGAGTCGCTATCTGGTAGCGTTTCAGCGAGTGTGTCGACAACTGCCTCGGCCTTTTCATCTTCCAGTGTGTCGGAAAGTGTTTCGGCGACCACCTCTGCTAGCCTTTCAGCCAGTGTTTCGACGAGTGCATCGGTCTCAGCATCGCCGAGTGTGTCGGCAACTGTATCAGCGTCGCCCTCTGCAAGCGTGGCAGCCAGTTTGTCGACCAGTGCCTCGGTGTCTACATCGCCCAGTGTGTCGGCAAGTGTGTCGGCCTCCAGCTCTAGTAGCCTTTCAGCCAGTGTGTCTACAAGTGCCTCGGTCTCCAATTCGCCCAGTGTGTCGGCAAGTGTCTCTGCCTCCACTTCCGGAAGCCTTTCAACCAGTGTGTCGACGAGTGCATCGATCTCCACATCGCCCAGTGTGTCGGCAAGTGTCTCGCCCTCCACCTCTGGTAGCTTGTCAGCCAGTGTGTCGACCAGTGTTTCGGCGTCCTCGTCGCCCAGTGTGTCACCAACTGTGTCAGAGTCGCTATCTGCCACCGTTTCAGCGAGTGTGTCGACCAGTGCCTCTTCGTCTACATCTCCCAGTGTGTCGGAAAGTGTCTCGGTCTCCACTTCTGCTAGCTTGTCAACCAGTGTGTCTACAAGTGCCTCGGTCTCCAATTCGCCCAGTGTGTCTTTAAGTGTCTCGGCCTCTACCTCTGCAAGTCTTTCAACCAGTGTGTCGACAAGTGCATCGATCTCCACATCGCCCAGTTTTTCGGCAAGTGTCTCGCTCTCCACCTCTGCTAGCTTGTCAGCCAGTGTGTCGACCAGTGTCTCGGCCTCCACGTCGCCCAGTGTGTCACTAAGTGTGTCAGAGTCGCTATCTGCTAGCGTTTCAGCGAGTGTGTCGACAACTGCCTCGGCCTCTTCATCTTCCAGTGTGTCGGAAAGTGCCTCGGTGACCACCTCTGCTAGCCTTTCAGCCAGTGTTTTGACGAGTGCATCGGTCTCAACATCGCCGAGTGTGTCGGCAACTCTATCAGCGTCGGCCTCTGCAAGCGTGTCAGCCAGTTTGTCGACCAGTGCCTCGGTGTCTACATCGCCCAGTGTGTCGGTAAGTGTGTCGGCCTCCAGCTCTACTAGCCTTTCAGCCAGTGTGTCTACAAGTGCCTCGGTCTCCAATTTGCCCAGTGTGTCGGCAAGTGTCTCTGCCTCCACTTCCGGAAGCCTTTCAACCAGTGTGTCGACGAGTGCATCGATCTCCACATCGCCCAGTGTGTCGTCAAGTGTCTCGCCCTCCACCTCTGGTAGCTTGTCAGCCAGTGTGTCGACCAGTGTTTCGGCCTCCTCGTCGCCCAGTGTGTCACCAACTGTGTCAGAGTCGCTATCTGCTAGCGTTTCAGCGAGTGTGTCGACAACTGCCTCGGCCTCTTCATCTTCCAGTGTGTCGGAAAGTATCTTGGCGACCACCTCTGCTAGCCCTTCAGCCAGTGTTTCGACGAGTGCATCGGTCTCAACATCGCCGAGTGTGTCGGCACCTGTATCAGCGTCGCCGTCTGCAAGCGTGTCAGCCAGTTTGTCGACCAGTGCCTCGGTGTCTACATCGCCCAGTGTGTCCGCAAGTGTGTCGGCCTCTAGCTCTACTAGCCTTTCAGCCAGTGTGTCTACAAGTGCTTCGGTCTCCAATTCGCCCAGTGTGTCGGCAAGTGTCTCTGCCTCCACTTCTGGAAGCCTTTCAAGAAGTGTGTCGACGAGTGCATCGATCTCCACATCGCCCAGTGTGTCGGCAAGTGTCTCGCCCTCCACCTCTGGTAGCTTGTCAGCCAGTGTGTCGACCAGTGTTTCGCCGTCCTTGTCGCCCAGTGTGTCACCAACTGTGTCAGAGTCGCTATCTGCCACCGTTTCAGCGAGTGTGTCGACCAGTGCCTCTTCGTCTACATCTCCCAGTGTGTCGGAAAGTGTCTCGGTCTCCACTTCTGCTAGCTTGTCAACCAGTGTGTCTACAAGTGCCTCGGTCTCCAATTCGCGCAGTGTGTCGGCAAGTGTCTCTGCCTCCATTACCGGAAGCCTTTCAACCAGTGTGTCGACGAGTGCATTGATGTCCACAGCGCCCAGTGTGTCGGCAAGTGTCTCGCCCTCCACCTCTGGTAGCTTGTCAGCCAGTATGTCGACCAGTGTTTCGGCGTCCTCGTCGCCCAGTGTGTCACCAACTGTGTCAGAGTCGCTATCTGCCACCGTTTCAGCGAGTGTGTCGACCAGTGCCTCTTCGTCTACATCTCCCAGTGTGTCGGAAAGTGTCTCGGTCTCCACTTCTGCTAGCTTGTCAACCAGTGTGTCTACAAGTGCCTCGGTCTCCAATTCGCCCAGTGTGTCTTTAAGTGGCTCGGCCTCCACCTCTGAAAGTCTTTCAACCAGTGTGTCGACAAGTGCATCGATCTCCACATCGCCCAGTTTTTCGCCAAGTGTCTCGCTCTCCACCTCTGCTAGCTTGTCAGCCAGTGTGTCGACCAGTGTCTCGGCCTCCACGTTGCCCAGTGTGTCACTAAGTGTGTCAGAGTCGCTATCTGCTAGCGTTTCAGCGAGTGTGTCGACAACTGCCTCGGCCTCTTCATCTTCCAGTGTGTCGGAAAGTGTCTCGGCGACCACCTCTGCTAGCCTTTCAGCCAGTGTTTCGACGAGTGCATCGGTCTCAACATCGCCGAGTGTGTCGGCAACTGTATCAGCGTCGCCCTCTGCAGGCGTGTCAGCCAGTTTGTCGACCAGTGCTTCGGTGTCTACATCGCCCAGTGTGTCGGCAAGTGTGTCGGCCTCCAGCTCTACTAGCCTTTCAGCCAGTGTGTCTACAAGTGCTTTGGTCTCCAATTCGCCCAGTGTGTCGGCAAGTGTCTCTGCCTCCACTTCCGGAAGCCTTTCAACCAGCGTGTCGACGAGTGCATCGTTCTCCACATCGCCCAGTGTGTCGGCAAGTGTCTCGCCCTCCACCTCTGGTAGCTTGTCAGCCAGTGTGTCGACCAGTGTTTCAGCCTCCTCGTCGCCCAGTGTGTCACCAACTTTGTCAGAGTCGCTATCTCCCACCGTTTCAGCGAGTGTGTCGACCAGTGCCTCTTCGTCTACATCTCCCAGTGTGTCGGAAAGTGTCTCGGTCTCCACTTCTGCTAGCTTGTCAACCAGCGTGTCTACAAGTTCCTCGGTGTCCAATTCGCCCAGTGTGTCTTTAAGTGTCTCGGCCTCTACCTCTGCAAGTCTTTCAACCAGTGTGTCGACAAGTGCATCGATCTCCACATCGCCCAGTTTTTCGGCAAGTGTCTCGCTCTCCACCTCTGCTAGCTTGTCAGACTTTGTGTCGACCAGTGTCTCGGCCTCCACGTCGCCCAGTGTGTCACTAAGTGTGTCAGAGTCGCTATCTGCTAGCGTTTCAGCGAGTGTGTCGACAACTGCCTCGGCCTCTTCATCTTCCATTGTGTCGGATAGTGTCTCGGCGACCACCTCTGCTAGCCTTTTAGCCAGTGTGTCGACGAGTGCATCGGTCTCAATATCGCCGAGTGTGTCGGTAACTGTATCAGCGTCGCCCTCTGCAAGCGTGTCAGCCAGTTTCTCGACCAGTGCCTCGGTGTCTACATCACCCAGTGTGTCGGCCTCCAGCTCTACTAGCCTTTCAGCCAGTGTGTCTACAAGTGCCTCGGTCTCCAATTCGCCCAGTGTGTCGGCAAGTGTCTCTGCCTCCACTTCCGGAAGCCTTTCAACCAGTGTGTCGACGAGTGCATCGATCTCCACATCGCCCAGTGTGTCGGCAAGTGTCTCGCCCTCCACCTCTGGTAGCTTGTCAGCCAGTGTGTCGACCAGTGTTTCGGCCTCCTCGTCGCCCAGTGTGTCACCAACTCTGTCAGAGTCGCTATCTGCCACCGTTTCAGCGAGTGTGTCGACCAGTGCCTCTTCGTCTACATCTCCCAGTGTGTCGGAAAGTGTCTCGGTCTCCACTTCTGCTAGCTTGTCAACCAGTGTGTCTACAAGTGCCTCGGTCTCCAATTCGCCCAGTGTGTCTTTAAGTGTCTCGGCCTCTACCTCTGAAAGTCTTTCAACCAGTGTGTCGACAAGTGCATCGATCTCCACATCGCCCAGTTTTTCGCCAAGTGTCTCGCTCTCCACCTCTGCTAGCTTGTCAGCCAGTGTGTCGACCAGTGTCTCGGCCTCCACGTCGCCCAGTGTGTCACTAAGTGTGTCAGAGTCGGTATCTGCTAGCGTTTCAGCGAGTGTGTCGACAACTGCCTCGGCCTCTTCATCTTCCAGTGTGTCGGAAAGTGTCTCGGCGACCACCTCTGCTAGCCTTTCAGCCAGTGTTTTGACGAGTGCATCGGTCTCAACATCGCCGAGTGCGTCGGCAACTGTATCAGCGTCGGCCTCTGCAAGCGTGTCACCCAGTTTGCTGATCAGTGCCTCGGTGTCTACATCGCCCAGTGTGTCGGCAAGTGTGTCGGCCTCCAGCTCTACTAGCCTTTCAGCCAGTGTGTCTACAAGTGCTTTGGTCTCCAATTCGCCCAGTGTGTCGGCAAGTGTCTCTGCCTCCACTTCCGGAAGCCTTTCAACCAGTGTGTCGACGAGTGCATCAATCTCGACATCGCCCAGGGTGTCGGCAAGTGTCTCGCCCTCCACCTCTGGTAGCTTGTCAGCCAGTGTGTCGACCAGTGTTTCAGCCTCCTCGTCGCCCAGTGTGTCACCAACTTTGTCAGAGTCGCTATCTCCCACCGTTTCAGCGAGTGTGTCGACCAGTGCCTCTTCGTCTACATCTCCCAGTGTGTCGGAAAGTGTCTCGGTCTCCACTTCTGCTAGCTTGTCAACCAGCGTGTCTACAAGTTCCTCGGTGTCCAATTCGCCCAGTGTGTCTTTAAGTGTCTCGGCCTCTACCTCTGCAAGTCTTTCAACCATTGTGTCGACAAGTGCATCGATCTCCACATCGCCCAGTTTTTCGGCAAGTGTCTCGCTCTCCACCTCTGCTAGCTTGTCAGCCAGTGTGTCGACCAGTGTCTCGGCCTCCACGTCGCCCAGTGTGTCACTAAGTGTGTCAGAGTCGCTATCTGCTAGCGTTTCAGCGAGTGTGTCGACAACTGCCTCGGCCTCTTCATCTTCCAGTGTGTCGGAAAGTGTCTCGGCGACCACCTCTGCTAGCCTTTCAGCCAGTGTTTTGACGAGTGCATCGGTCTCAACATCGCCGAGTGCGTCGGCAACTGTATCAGCGTCGGCCTCTGCAAGCGTGTCACCCAGTTTGCTGATCAGTGCCTCGGTGTCTACATCGCCCAGTGTGTCGGCAAGTGTGTCGGCCTCCAGCTCTACTAGCCTTTCAGCCAGTGTGTCTACAAGTGCCTCGGTCTCCAATTCGCCCAGTGTGTCGGCAAGTGTCTCTGCCTCCACTTCCGGAAGCCTTTCAACCAGTGTGTCGACGAGTGCATCAATCTCGACATCGCCCAGGGTGTCGGCAAGTGTCTCGCCCTCCACCTCTGGTAGCTTGTCAGCCAGTGTGTCGACCAGTGTTTCGGCATCCTTGTCGCCCAGTGTGTCACCTACTTTGTCAGAGTCGCTATCTGCCACCGTTTCAGCGAGTGTGTCGACCAGTGCCTCTTCGTCTACATCTCCCAGTGTGTCGCAAAATGTCTCGGTCTCCACTTCTGCTAGCTTGTCAACCAGTGTGTCTGCAAGTGCCTCGGTCTCCAATTCGCCCAGTGTGTCTTTGAGTGTCTCGGCCTCTACCTCTGCAAGTCTTTCAACCATTGTGTCGACAAGTGCATCGATCTCCACATCGCCCAGTTTTTCGGCAAGTGTCTCGCTCTCCACCTCTGCTAGCTTGTCAGCCAGTGTGTCGACCAGTGTCTCGGCCTCCACGTCGCCCAGTGTGTCACTAAGTGTGTCAGAGTCGGTATCTGCTAGCGTTTCAGCGAGTGTGTCGACAACTGCCTCGGCCTCTTCATCTTCCAGTGTGTCGGAAAGTGTCTCGGCGACCACCTCTGCTAGCCTTTCAGCCAGTGTTTTGACGAGTGCATCGGTCTCAACATCGCCGAGTGCGTCGGCAACTGTATCAGCGTCGGCCTCTGCAAGCGTGTCACCCAGTTTGCTGATCAGTGCCTCGGTGTCTACATCGCCCAGTGTGTCGGCAAGTGTGTCGGCCTCCAGCTCTACTAGCCTTTCAGCCAGTGTGTCTACAAGTGCCTCGGTCTCCAATTCGCCCAGTGTGTCGGCAAGTGTCTCTGCCTCCACTTCCGGAAGCCTTTCAACCAGTGTGTCGACGAGTGCATCAATCTCGACATCGCCCAGGGTGTCGGCAAGTGTCTCGCCCTCCACCTCTGGTAGCTTGTCAGCCAGTGTGTCGACCAGTGTTTCGGCCTCCTCGTCGCCCAGTGTGTCACCAACTGTGTCAGAGTCGCTATCTGCCACCGTTTCAGCGAGTGTGTCGACCAGTGCCTCTTCGTCTACATCTGCCAGTGTGTCGGAAAGTGTCTCGGTCTCCACTTCTGCTAGCTTGTCAACCAGTGTGTCTACAAGTGCCTCGGTCTCCAATTCGCCCAGTGTGTCTTTAAGTGTCTCGGCCTCTACCTCTGAAAGTCTTTCAACCAGTGTGTCGACAAGTGCGTCGATCTCCACATCGCCCAGTTTTTCGGCAAGTGTCTCGCTCTCCACCTCTGCTAGCTTGTCAGCCTTTGTGTCGACAAGTGTCTCGGCCTCCATGTCGCCCAGTGTGTCACTAAGTGTGTCAGAGTCGCTATCTGGTAGCGTTTCAGCGAGTGTGTCGACAACTGCCTCGGCCTTTTCATCTTCCATTGTGTCAGTAAGTGTTTCGGCGACCACCTCTGCTAGCCTTTCAGCCAGTGTGTCGACGAGTGCATCGGTCTCAACATCGCCGAGTGTGTCGGCAACTGTATCAGCGTCGCCCTCTGCAAGTGTGTCAGCCAGTTTGTCGACCAGTGCCTCGGTGTCTACATCGCCCAGTGTGTCAGCAAGTGTGTCGGCCTCCAGCTCTACTAGCCTTTCAGCCAGTGTGTCTACAAGTGCCTCGGTCTCCAATTCGCCCAGTGTGTCGGCAAGTGTCTCTGCCTCCACTTCCGGAAGCCTTTCAACAAGTGTGTCGACGAGTGCATCGATCTCCACATCGCCCAGTGTGTCGGCAAGTGTCTCGCCCTCCACCTCTGGTAGCTTGTCATCCAGTGTGTCGACCAGTGTTTCGGCGTCCTTGTCGCCCAGTGTGTCACCAACTGTGTCAGAGTCGCTATCTGCCACCGTTTCAGCGAGTGTGTCGACCAGTGCCTCTTCGTCTACATCTGCCAGTGTGTCGGAAAGTGTCTCGGTCTCCACTTCTGCTAGCTTGTCAACCAGTGTGTCTACAAGTGCCTCGGTCTCCAATTCGCCCAGTGTGTCTTTAAGTGTCTCGGCCTCTACCTCTGAAAGTCTTTCAACCAGTGTGTCGACAAGTGCGTCGATCTCCACATCGCCCAGTTTTTCGGCAAGTGTCTCGCTCTCCACCTCTGCTAGCTTGTCAGCCTTTGTGTCGACTAGTGTCTCGACCTCCATGTCGCCCACTGTGTCACTAAGTGTGTCAGAGTCGCTATCTGGTAGCGTTTCAGCGAGTGTGTCGACAACTGCCTCGGCCTTTTCATCTTCCATTGTGTCGGAAAGTGTCTCGGCGACCACCTCTGCTAGCCTTTCAGCCAGTGTGTCGACGAGTGCATCGGTCTCAACATCGCCGAGTGTGTCAGCAACTGTATCAGCGTCGCCCTCTGCAAGTGTGTCAGCCAGTTTGTCGACCAGTGCCTCAGTGTCTACATCGCCCAGTGTGTCGGCAAGTGTGTCGGCCTCCAGCTCTACTAGCCTTTCAGCCAGTGTGTCTACAAGCGCCTCGGTCTCCAATTCGCCCAGTGTGTCGGCAAGTGTCTCTGCCTCCACTTCCGGAAGCCTTTCAACCAGTGTGTCGACGAGTGCATCGATCTCCACATCGCCCAGTGTGTCGGCAATTGTGTCGCCCTCCACCTCTGGTAGCTTGTCAGCCAGTGTGTCGACCAGTGTTTCGGCCTCCTCGTCGCCCAGTGTGTCACCAACTGTCTCAGAGTCGGTATCTGCCACCGTTTCAGCGAGTGTTTCGACCAGTGCCTCTTCGTCTACATCTCCCAGTGTGTCGGAAAGTGTCTCGGTCTCCACTTCTGCTAGCTTGTCAACCAGTGTGTCTACAAGTGCCTCGGTCTCCAATTCGCCCAGTGTGTCTTTAAGTGTCTCGGCCTCTACCTCTGAAAGTCTTTCAACCAGTGTGTCGACAAGTGCGTCGATCTCCACATCGCCCAGTTTTTCGGCAAGTGTCTCGCTCTCCACCTCTGCTAGCTTGTCAGCCTTTGTGTCGACAAGTGTCTCGGCCTCCATGTCGCCCAGTGTGTCACTAAGTGTGTCAGAGTCGCTATCTGGTAGCGTTTCAGCGAGTGTGTCGACAACTGCCTCGGCCTTTTCATCTTCCATTGTGTCAGTAAGTGTTTCGGCGACCACCTCTGCTAGCCTTTCAGCCAGTGTGTCGACGAGTGCATCGGTCTCAACATCGCCAAGTGTGTCGGCAACTGTATCAGCGTCGCCCTCTGCAAGTGTGTCAGCCAGTTTGTCGACCAGTGCCTCGGTGTCTACATCGCCCAGTGTGTCAGCAAGTGTGTCGGCCTCCAGCTCTACTAGCCTTTCAGCCAGTGTGTCTACAAGTGCCTCGGTCTCCAATTCGCCCAGTGTGTCGGCAAGTGTCTCTGCCTCCACTTCCGGAAGCCTTTCAACCAGTGTGTCGACGAGTGCATCGATCTCCACATCGCCCAGTGTGTCGGCAAGTGTCTCGCCCTCCACCTCTGGTAGCTTGTCAGCCAGTGTGTCGACCAGTGTTTCGGCCTCCTCGTCGCCCAGTGTGTCACCAACTGTGTCAGAGTCGGTATCTGCCACCGTTTCAGCGAGTGTGTCGACCAGTGCCTCTTCGTCTACATCTCCCAGTGTGTCGGAAAGTGTCTCGGTCTCCACTTCTGCTAGCTTGTCAACCAGTGTGTCTACAAGTGCCTCGGTCTCCAATTCGCCCAGTGTGTCTTTAAGTGTCTCGGCCTCTACCTCTGAAAGTCTTTCAACCAGTGTGTCGACAAGTGCATCGATCTCCACATCGCCCAGTGTGTCGGCAAGTGTCTCGCTCTCCACCTCTGCTAGCTTGTCAGCCAGTGTGTCGACCAGTGTCTCGGCCTCCACGTCGCCCAGTGTGTCACTAAGTGTGTCAGAGTCGCTATCTGCTAGCGTTTCAGCGAGTGTGTCGACAACTGCCTCGGCCTCTTCATCTTCCAGTGTGTCGGAAAGTGCCTCGGTGACCACCTCTGCTAGCCTTTCAGCCAGTGTTTTGACGAGTGCATCGGTCTCAACATCGCCGAGTGTCTCGGCAACTGTATCAGCGTCGGCCTCTGCAAGCGTGTCAGCCAGTTTGTCGACCAGTGCCTCGGTGTCTACATCGCCCAGTGTGTTGGCAAGTGTGTCGGCCTCCAGCTCTCCTAGTCTTTCAGCCAGTGTGTCTACAAGCGCCTCGGTCTCCAATTCGCCCAGTGTGTCGGCAAGTGTCTCTGCCTCCACTTCCGGAAGCCTTTCAACCAGTGTGTCGACGAGTGCATCGATCTCCACATCGCCCAGTGTGTCGGCAACTGTCTCGCCCTCCACCTCTGGTAGCTTGTCAGCCAGTGTGTCGACCAGTGTTTCAGCCTCCTCGTCGCCCAGTGTGTCACCAACTTTGTCACAGTCGCTATCTGCCACCGTTTCAGCGAGTGTGTCGACCAGTGCCTCTTCGTCTACATCTCCCAGTGTGTCGCAAAGTGTCTCGGTCTCCACTTCTGCTAGCTTGTCAACCAGTGTGTCTACAAGTGCCTCGGTCTCCAATTCGCCCAGTGTGTCTTTAAGGGTCTCGGCCTCTACCTCTGAAAGTCTTTCAACCAGTGTGTCCACAAGTGCATCGATCTCCACATCGCCCAGTTTTTCGGTAAGTGTCTCGCTCTCCACCTCTGGTAGCTTGTCAGACTTTGTGTCGACCAGTGTCTCGGCCTCCACTTCGCCCAGTGTGTCACTAAGTGTGTCAGAGTCGCTATCTGCTAGCGTTTCAGCGAGTGTGTCGACAACTGCCTCGGCCTCTTCATCTTCCATTGTGTCGGATAGTGTCTCGGCGACCACCTCTGCTAGCCTTTTAGCCAGTGTGTCGACGAGTGCATCGGTCTCAACATCGCCGAGTGTGTCGGTAACTGTATCAGCGTCGCCCTCTGCAAGCGTGTCAGCCAGTTTCTCGACCAGTGCCTCGGTGTCTACATCACCCAGTGTGTCGGCCTCCAGCTCTACTAGCCTTTCAGCCAGTGTGTCTACAAGTGCCTCGGTCTCCAATTCGCCCAGTGTGTCGGCAAGTGTCTCTGCCTCCACTTCCGGAAGCCTTTCAACCAGTGTGTCGACGAGTGCATCGATCTCCACATCGCCCAGTGTGTCGGCAAGTGTCTCGCCCTCCACCTCTGGTAGCTTGTCAGCCAGTGTGTCGACCAGTGTTTCGGCCTCCTCGTCGCCCAGTGTGTCACCAACTTTGTCAGAGTCGCTATCTGCCACCGTTTCAGCGAGTGTGTCGACCAGTGCCTCTTCGTCTACATCTCCCAGTGTGTCGGAAAGTGTCTCGGTCTCCACTTCTGCTAGCTTGTCAACCAGTGTGTCTACAAGTGCCTCGGTCTCCAATTCGCCCAGTGTGTCTTTAAGTGTCTCGGCCTCTACCTCTGCAAGTCTTTCAACCAGTGTGTCGACAAGTGCATCGATCTCCACATCGCCCAGTTTTTCGGCAAGTGTCTCGCTCTCCACCTCTGCTAGCTTGTCAGCCAGTGTGTCGACCAGTGTTTCGGCCTCCACGTCGCCCAGTGTGTCACTAAGTGTGTCAGAGTCGCTATCTGCTAGCGTTTCAGCGAGTGTGTCGACAACTGCCTCGGCCTCTTCATCTTCCAGTGTGTCGGAAAGTATCTCGGTGACCACCTCTGCTAGCCTTTCAGCCAGTGTTTCGACGAGTGCATCGTTCTCAACATCGCCGAGTGTGTCGGCAACTGTATCAGCGTCGGCCTCTGCAAACGTGTCAGCCAGTTTGTCGACGAGTGTCTCGGTGTCTACATCGCCCAGTGTGTTGGCAAGTGTGTCGGCCTCCAGCTCTACTAGCCTTTCAGCCAGTGTGTCTACAAGCGCCTCGGTCTCCAATTCGCCCAGTGTGTCGGCAAGTGTCTCTGCCTCCACTTCCGGAAGCCTTTCAACCAGTGTGTCGACGAGTGCATCGATCTCCACATCGCCCAGTGTGTCGGCAAGTTTCTCGCCCTCCACCTCTGGTAGCTTGTCAGCCAGTGTGTCGACTAGTGTTTCGGCCTCCTCGTCGCCCAGTGTGTCACCAACTCTGTCAGAGTCGCTATCTGCCACCGTTTCAGCGAGTGTGTCGACCAGTGCCTCTTCGTCTACATCTCCCAGTGTGTCGGAAAGTGTCTCGGTCTCCACTTCTGCTAGCTTGTCAACCAGTGTGTCTACAAGTGCCTCGGTCTCCAATTCGCCCAGTGTGTCTTTAAGTGTCTCGGCCTCTACCTCTGCAAGTCTTTCAACCAGCGTGTCGACAAGTGCATCGATCTCCACATCGCCCAGTTTTTCGGCAAGTGTCTCGCTCTCCACCTCTGCTAGCTTGTCAGCCAGTGTGTCGACCAGTGTCTCGGCCTCCACGTCGCCCAGTGTGTCACTAAGTGTGTCAGAGTCGCTATCTGCTAGCGTTTCAGCGAGTGTGTCGACAACTGCCTCGGCCTCTTCATCTTCCAGTGTGTCGGAAAGTGTCTCGGCGACCACGTCTGCTAGCCTTTCAGCCAGTGTTTCGACGAGTGCATCGGTCTCAACATCGCCGAGTGTGTCGGCAACTGTATCAGCGTCGCCCTCTGTAAGCGTGTCAGCCAGTTTGTCGACCAGTGCCTCGGTGTCTACATCGCCCAGTGTGTCGGCAAGTGTGTCGGCCTCCAGCTCTACTAGCCTTTCAACCAGTGTGTCTACAAGTGCCTCGGTCTCCAATTCGCCCAGTGTGTCGGCAAGTGTCTCTGCCTCCACTTCCGGAAGCCTTTCAACCAGTGTGTCGACGAGTGCATCGATCTCCACATCGCCCAGTGTGTCGGCAAGTTTCTCGCCCTCCACCTCTGGTAGCTTGTCAGCTAGTGTGTCGACCAGTGTTTCGGCCTCCTCGTCGCCCAGTGTGTCACCAACTCTGTCAGAGTTCGTATCTGCCACCGTTTCAGCGAGTGTGTCTACCAGTGCCTCTTCGTCTACATCTCCCAGTGTGTCGGAAAGTGTCTCGGTCTCCACTTCTCCTAGCTTGTCAACCAGTGTGTCTACAAGTGCCTCGGTCTCCAATTCGCCCAGTGTGTCTTTAAGTGTCTCGGCCTCTACCTCTGCAAGTCTTTCAACCAGTGTGTCGACAAGTGCATCGATCTCCACATCGCCCAGTTTTTCGGCAAGTGTCTCGCTCTCCACCTCTGCTAGCTTGTCAGCCAGTGTGTCGACCAGTGTCTCGGCCTCCACGTCGCCCAGTGTGTCACTAAGTGTGTCAGAGTCGCTATCTGCCACCGTTTCAGCGAGTGTGTCGACAACTGCCTCGGCCTCTTCATCTTCCAGTGTGTCGGAAAGTGTCTCGGCGACCACGTCTGTTAGCCTTTCAGCCAGTGTTTCGACGAGTGCATCGGTCTCAACATCGCCGAGTGTGTCGGCAACTGTATCAGCGTCGCCCTCTGTAAGCGTGTCAGCCAGTTTGTCGACCAGTGCCTCGGTGTCTACATCGCCCAGTGTGTCGGCAAGTGTGTCGGCCTCCAGCTCTACTAGCCTTTCAGCCAGTGTGTCTACAAGTGCTTCGGTCTCCAACTCGCCCAGTGTGTCGGCAAGTGTCTCTGCCTCCACTTCCGGAAGCCTTTCAACCAGTGTGTCGACGAGTGCATCGATCTCCACATCTCCCAGGTTGTCGGAAAGTGTCTCGGTCTCCACTTCTCCTAGCTTGTCAACCAGTGTGTCTACAAGTGCCTCGGTCTCCAATTCGCCCAGTGTGTCTTTAAGTGTCTCGGCCTCTACCTCTGCAAGTCTTTCAACCAGTGTGTCGACAAGTGCATCGATCTCCACATCGCCCAGTTTTTCGGCAAGTGTCTCGCTCTCCACCTCTGCTAGCTTGTCAGCCAGTGTGTCGACCAGTGTCTCGGCCTCCACGTCGCCCAGTGTGTCACTAAGTGTGTCAGAGTCGCTATCTGCTAGCGTTTCAGCGAGTGTGTCGACAACTGCCTCGGCCTCTTCATCTTCCAGTGTGTCGGAAAGTGTCTCGGCGACCACCTCTGCTAGCCTTTCAGCCAGTGTGTCGACAAGTGCATCGGTCTCAATATCGCCGAGTGTGTCGGCAACTGTATCAGCGTCGCCTTCTGTAAGCGTGTCAGCCAGTTTGTCGACCAGTGCCTCGGTGTCTACATCGCCCAGTGTGTCGGCAAGTGTGTTGGCCTCCAGCTCTACTAGCCTTTCAGCCAGTGTGTCTACAAGTGCCTCGGTCTTTAATTCGCCCAGTGTGTCGGCAAGTGTCTCTGCCTCCACTTCCGGAAGCCTTTCAACCAGTGTGTCGACGAGTGCATCGATCTCCACATCGCCCAGTGTGTCGGCAAGTGTCTCGCCCTCCACCTCTGGTAGCTTGTCAGCCAGTTTGTCGACCAGTGTTTCGGCGTCCTCGTCGCCCAGTGTGTCACCAAGTGTATCAGAGTCGGTATCTGCCACCTTTTCAGCGAGTGTGTCGACCAGTGCCTCGGCGTCTACATCTCTCAGTGTGTCGGAAGGTGTCTCTGCCTCCACTTCCGCAAGCCTTTCAACCAGTGTGTCGACGAGTGCATCGATCTCCACATCGCCTAGTGTGTCGGAAAGTGTCTCGGCCTCTACCTCTGCTAGCCTGTCAAGCAGTATGTCTACGAGTGCCTCGGTCTCCAATTCGCCCAGTGTGTCGGCAAGTGTCTCGGCCTCCACCTCTGCTAGCCTGTCAACCAGTGTGTCTACAAGTGCCTCGGTCTCCAATTCGCCCAGTGTGTCGGCAAGTGTCTCTGCCTCCACTTCCGCAAGCCTTTCAACCAGTGTGTCGGCGAGTGCATCGATCTCCACATCGCCCAGTGTGTCGGCAAGTGTCTCGCCCTCTACCTCTGCTAGCTTGTCAGCCAGTGTGTCGACCAGTGTTTCGGCCTCCTCGTCGCCGAGTGTGTCACCAACTGTATCAGAGTCGGTATCTGCCACCGTTTCAGCGAGTGTGTCGACCAGTGCCTCGGCGTCTACATCTCTCAGTGTGTCGGAAAGTGTCTCGGCCTCCACTTCTGCTAATTTGTCAACCAGTGTGTCTACAAGTGCCCCGGTCTCCAATTCGCCCAGTGTGTCTTTAAGTGTCTCGGCCTTCACTTCCGTAAGCCCTTTAACCAGTGTGTCGACGAGTGCATCGATCTCCACATCGCCCAGTGTGTCGGCAAGTGTCTCGCCCTTGACCTCTGTTATCTTCTTAGCCAGTGTGTCCACCAGCGTCTTGGCCTCCACGTCGCCTAGTGTGTCACCAACTGTGTCAGATTCGCTATCTGCTAGCGTTTCAGCGAGTGTGTCGACCAGTGCCTCGGCGTTTACATCACCCAGTGTGTCGGAAAGTGTCTCGTCGTCCACCTCTGCTAGCCTTTCAGCTAGTTTGTCGACGAATGCATCGGTCTCAACATCGCCTAGTGTGTCGGCAACTGTATCAGCGTCGCCCTCTGCTAGCGTGTCAGCGAGTTTGTCGACCAGTGGCTCGGCGTCTACATCGCCCAGTGTGTCGGCAAGTGTCTCGGCCTCCACCTCCGCAAGTCTTTCAACCAGTGTGTCGACGAGTGCATCGATCTCTACATTGCCCAGTTTGTCTTCAAGTGTCTCGCCCTCCACTTCTGCTAGCTTGTCAGCCAGTGTGCCGACCAGTGTTTCGGCCTCCACGTCGCGCAGTGTGTCACCAACTCTTTCTATAACGGCTAGTTCAAGCATTTTACCTTCAACTCCCAGTAAGAGTTGATATTTGTTTATTTAAGATTTTGTGTTTTGGTTGTGTTGCATTAGACACTATTGACCAGGTAATTGGTATCTACAATTTTGTCGATTATGACGTTGTTGTTAAATGCAGTCAGCTGTTTTGTATCGTACCTTCTTTCTAGGATTCCTACAATTTTGCGTTAACGGCCACCCATTATCCCCTTGTGAAATAACTTGCTTTTTTGTTTAAGGTTTTTATTGGTTCGTAATGTTTTCTATGGTCTATAAATTATTTGCCAAACTCTTTTAATAAGGGCACTGCTGGAACGTATGTGGATGTCAGTAGTATCTGCTTTTTATCCACTATGATCTTAAGCATTGATGCTCACTTAAGTAGTCAACTCTTAACGCTTGGCTAAGAGCTAACAAGTATAACCTTAATGTCGCTAAAGGGTGCAAACCCAAGCTGAGGTTTCCATCAGTGCACATATCGAGAGCAACGAAATCAGGAGTTGTCTTTTAAAGTCTCTTAGACTAACAATTGACGTGACCCTCTCCTGGTGCAAGCATATTATAAATATTTTAAAAAAGATTTTTTTCAGGAATCGGTGCCTTGAAACGTTTGATACCAAATAATCATTTACGCATTCTCGGCAGCAAAAATAAATACGACCTTATTTGATCCCCACTTTATGTACAGCTGCAGGGTATGGTATGGTCTCATCTACACTTTGAACGCTAAACTTCAAAAATTTTAAAACCGCGAGGCTACGGTAACTGCCAAATCTAGATATGACGCTACTATAGATTGTTTTGTTGCTTTGATGGGATAGGGTTCAGTTATCTGAACAAAACAAAGGGCGGTTATCATCTTCAAAACGGTAAAGAAGCAAATGCCCCATCCCCCCCCCGCCCCACATTTACCGTATGTTCTCTGCTCGTGACGTTACTTTTTTTGTACAATATCTATTACTCTGAGAACATCTTTCGAGTTTCTGAACCAAGGAGTAACTTTCTTAAGCTCAGTTGTTTGTGTTCAGGGGCTGCCCTTTGGGATGGACTACCATAAGATGGAATAAATTACTAACTTTCGTCAACGGGTACCCACACGGCAAAAAGGCAAACTAGTATTTTAGATCTTGATTATCTTCAAATACTGATGTTGTAAACCGTATCTAAATAGAGTACTTCTATGTCTATGTCCATGCACCCGCAATTGGCCATTTATATTTAAACAGATGAGCCCTACTGTAGCAGATTAGAACAAAAAAGATAGTTGAAGTAATCTTAAAAGATGTCTCTGCAAAATATTTACTTATTTATATTTACATATTTACTATTGTTGAGACGTTGTAGTTTTGCATGGCGAAAATGTTTATCAACAGCCTTATGAAAAGTGCAGTTTAAGCCTTCATAAGAGGAAAGCTAAATGTCACGCCAAGCACACTCGTTAAAAGTGCCTTTTTATTGTGCTCTTTCTTTCTCCTTTGAAGCAATTGCACCTGCGAACAATCTATTTGCGTTTGGGCCACCGGAGAATGATACTGAACTCATACCGGAGCCATCTTGTAACGACGAAGTGATCTGCCAAAGTATCAGAGCGGGCCGTTTTGGATTTGAATTCTTCCAGAGGAGACGTTTCAGACTGAATGTAGGTATCGGGCTAATTGTTATTGCTGCCTAAAGGCTTGCAGGGGTCTTGGATTTTAGGGAACTAATTTAATTAGCTTTCCACTCCTTCTTCTATATATCCGACTTCATGGTTTCTTTTTACGTTTCCTTCATTTGTTGAGATTATTCTTCATATTTGTATGCATTAGACCTTTTTACCGATACGGCGGCCATATTGAATTAATTCGGTTTAAGGAGTATTATAGGATGCCCAGGGGGCATGAGCACATTTCGTTTGTATTTTCGAGCGCTTTTCGGGACAGGTTTTCGTAGTTTTCTTAGAATAAGATTGTAATGGGAAAAAAGATCCTTGTGCCATGTTTGGATGTAATAATGATCACCTTTTCCAGAGATTTATACAATGAAAGACCATATTTCTAATACTAGACTAGAAAAAGGCGACCATTATTACATCCAAACGACACAAGGATCTTTTTTCCATTACCGTCAAATTCTAGGAAAACTTTAAGAAAAAATGTCCTAAAAAGCGCTCAAAAATACAAACGAAAAGTGCTCATGCCCCCTGGGCACCCTATAATACTCCTTAAATCGAATTAATTCAATATGGCCGCCGTATCGGTAAAAAGGTCTATTTTAAACACAACTAAACAAGACGTGTCTCTCTTAGTACCGGTAAAAAAAGCCAACGGCATCTTTATAGCTTTCGATAAGCCAGGGGAGTCTTAAGATCTTTAATTGGCTTGTTTCTTAAAACGGATAAAAAAACAGACGGTTATGACTGGAGCAAAAAGCCCACTTTTCAAACTATTTACAAAGAGGCTATCTTACATGTCCGCCCGGTAATACGAAATTTAAGCGTTAAGTGGACGAGTGAAATATTCTCGATAACTCGAAGAGAAATTTCGTATCTCCAAGCGGCCATGTGTTGTTTTGTTTTTTATATAAACACCAATGAGATACCAAAATATTCCGCTTTGACATCTTTTGGCCGTGAAAGGTGCGATTTATTATGTAGCCATAGCAACGGTGATCTTTACAAGTCTGAAGATCAGTATCAAGTTTTCGCGCAGAAGCTCACCTGGTATTTCATTGGTTGTTATGTAACAATTCATTTTCTTTTACTTTAGATATTTAAACACAGTGATTTTAATACAAGTCCTATCGACACCCAGAAATTTCACGATAGCTTCTTCGAAAATCACATACTCTTAGACAAAACTAAGCCTTATTCTAATCAAATTGGCATCAATTTATATAAAAATTAAATTCGACTAAACTACTCCTGCTTTGCTAGATATGTTTCAATGGTAAAATCCAGTTTAACGAAAGATGGAGTGTGCGGTGGCCCCAGAGGTTTGGTATTTACAGATGGCTACGTTCAAATGCGTTCATTGCACCATTCTGGGCTAGGGTGGAACATGCAGCATTTAACACAGGAAATTCCAAGGTTTATTATCACGCTTACGAGCAAAGCAACGAGAACACGGATCAAACAAGTAACATACTCGGTCTGGCCTCACGTCATGTTCAGAATTACACTAACGATGAAAAATTTAGAAACTTTGAAGCCACTTGGGTTCTGGTCGTCACTTGGGTAAATGTCTGCCCTTACAACAAATGTACAGAACGTTGTAGTTTGGTAAGTTATGATTTTCACATTAATTATATTTTTCAGACATTTTTCTTACGCACTGTCTTTTTTTGGAACAAACGATAGTTTTTGGGTCGGTGGTTTGACCGTTTTTCATTGCTATTTTAGATTCTCCGAAAAGTAACCTCTTTAATTCAGCAACTTTAGATTGATGATTAGCTTTCGAATAGACCTTGTCACTAGTGTAGTGAATCTAGTGTCGAATAATTTCCGTAAAACGGCTTTTCTGAAAAAAATATGAATTGTAACCTAAAGCTTCACTCCTAACGATTACACCGAAAAACATTGAGGGCGTTATATGCAGCTGCATGCGCTAGAACGACTTTTTTTTTTGTCTGTAAAAATTTTTCTTCCTTTCGACTAAAATATCCCGGGAAAAATTGCAGACAAATACATCGAAAATCTAATACAAGCGTCTGGAGAAAGTTATGCACAGTTACGGCCCCCAAAATCCTTTGCTGTAGCTTCAGTTTACAATTAATTTTTTTCTCAGAACAGCCGTTTTACGCAAATTATTTTTCTCATACAAACACTGTAATTTCTCACGCGGTTGCCTACTCGTCAAGATGGCTTTCAAAACCGTGACAAGGTCTGTAAAACTTCGCTCGCTGTGCAATATTAATATTGACTGACTGCTTTGTTAGTCCTGTACTAGCCTGCGAGTAGAGCCGTCTTCGCCATTTTCTACACCAGGTGTTGGATCTATGTTATTGGTGGGAAAATGGTACGTGAGAAACTAGAGAACATTAGCTGAATGGGAAGCGCTCTTTGGTTGAGTGGGGATTAAGTGCACTATTTTGAAAGACACTTTTTTGCCACAATTTTATTTCAACCTTATGCCTTGGTTTGGTGAACACAGAGACTTCAGATTGCCATGTTTTGGGTGGAATGATAGGCGAGATTAGAATAGCGACCACGTCTTAGAAGTTTTTTAATTTTTTAAATACCTTCAATGTATTTCCAACATAATCGTGGAAAGAGTCACAAGATCTTTGTCCCGGTGCGCCCATAACAAGTAGTGGGAGTAGCGTGCAGGTCATGCATTAGACGGCTTGTGTTAAAATTCATCGCCAGTTTCATTTCATTTTCAGAATGGCATTTGCTGAATAATTCGTCTTATAATTTGTGACTATACCTTCCAATTTTTTTTAAATAACGTATTCCCGGGGAGGAGGAGGATACTCAATAAAGATTCATACAGGAAGGCTCAGCCCTGGGGTCCAACCCTTACCCTTCAATATTCCATTTTTTTACAGCAAAGGTGCCCGTTTCCTATACTCTAAAAACCTGCGACTTAGAACCTGTTATACTAAAATTTGTCAATTAGGCCCCCTCCTTACAAGAACCTGTTTAGCGTAAATTTGAAACAGGTTTTTATTTTCTAAAACTTCTGTACGCTTGGACAAATAAGATAAGTCACCATTCAGAATCCTCTTTGGAGGTATAAATGTCTTGATGATCACTCCCACTACAGTGTGTTGAATGCAGATTTCATATAAGGAATAAGCTGAATATAATACTAAGTACTCTTAGCTTCAACGGTGTTTTTCTCTTCCGAAAATAAGAAGCTATTTAAGAACCTACATAGCCTAAACTTGTGCATGCTAATTACCATTTATGTAAGAACCTGTTTATGCTGACTTGGGAAAATGCAGGTTATTAGTCGTACTTTCTGTCGTTATGAGTCGTTTTTATTGTATTTTCCATTGAGAAATGGCACCCCTTTAGACCTTTGCATCCCTTTTATCTGCTGTAAAATTCACTGAAGAAGTAGATAAGACTAAATCACTAAACCAGGACGTTTTCTCGGCCTTTTCACAATTATAAAATGCATCTGTTGGCCGATTTGGGCCTATTTACAGACTGAAATGACAGACCAGTTCTACCGTTCATATACTTTAATTGATGAAATCCCTACCCTTTCATATTTACCCGAAGAGTGAAAAAGGTACCCCTTTCGAGCGTAGCCTCCCCGTTTTAAAACAATCTTGCTTAGGTTTGCTTGTCAGCCCCCACTCATTTTCTGAGTGCAGAGTGACTAAATGAGTGTTTGAAAGTGTGATTGCGTGGAGATGGGTTCTTGCTAGCACAGTTTAATTGAATCCAGTCAATTACGTCTTACGAGGTCATTGGTTCGAATCCCGTTCGGAATTCTTTTCGGATTTATTTGCATTTGCTTAAATTGCAATTACCTCTGCGACAATCATATATTCGTGTATTTTCGCAGTTCACATCATCTTCATGTAACATTTAACTTGCTACAAAGTTGTTTACAATTTTTTAAATCTTCCCGGCTCTACTTTGTTTATAGGGATGTCAAGATGTCGAAAATAGCTATGAACAGGTTAAAGATTTATCGCTATACCACTGACTAAAATAATGTCCTGAGTTTTATGTTTGTAGAGGAACACTTTTCAAGCAGTCATCATAACAGACTGGGGTAACACGTTTCTGATTTACAACTACCCTTCAGGAGGAATCGAGTGGACAGTTAATGCTCTTGTGTAAGTCATACTTATACAGAGTCAAAGGCCTATGCCAAACGTCGAACGTTTCATGAGACGAACCAAACTTAGTAAGTTAAGTTCTTGGAAAAGTTCGACATCTAGCCTCAGTAAAAGTTCGTCTGTATGAGTTTGGATCGCGCAAAACGTTCTATCCGTGTGCGTCAGACGTCCGAAGATCGTCTCCGGGACAAACGTTGATCTTCACATGTAACGAACGAACTAGACTAGTAAATTAAATGCTATTTAACCTCGTTCGGGAGAAAACTTTTTAGAATTGCTTTTTGGTCTGATTCAGTTGATTGGTTCGACGCGTTCTAAGTTCGACGTCTGACCCGACAGACGATCTTAACTTAATTTAGGTCGACCTTAACTAGAGTTTGGTTCGTTTCATGAAAATTCGAAGTTTGGCCTAGTCCTTACACATCACTAGTTGAATGCTGTTAAGTGAGCTTGAAACGTTTAGAGGGAGCACTTCTTTGTTGTTGTTTTTGTGGCTTTTTAGGCTGTTTTTAGTGTCTCTGTGGGACCTGATTGCTGAGTATTGTGGGTTGCAAGGTTTTTTTTTAAATATTATAATAAATTCTAATTCAGTTCAAACGTTGGATCAATTCATATTCAATATTAAAGGAAATATAATAATATGTGATGATAGTAATGATCACGACAATGGATGATACGGTATATAACATTATACGACATATGATATATATTACCAACCACACTGATTTTTATCAAAATACTGTTTTCCTCGTGGTTTGATTGGCAATTATCTTTTCTGCAGATCTGAATATTCTGAATGGACAGGTGTGTATGGTATTCCAGTAGCCGGTTGGAGCGCTGAAGGCATTCACAATCTCAACCTTGAAGGGTGAGGCGTGCTAGTTACCTTGTGGCCTGCGCCGCAGACGAAACTAAACTCTGGTTAAGTCCGTCTGCGTAACATCGCCGAAATCCTTGTTCTGGGACCCTACCTGTGTGGTGGGATTTGAGTACGCTCCATGATTCGCTTGTTCAAAATTCCATCGTCGATTTGCCCATCAAGGTGAAGGAAATTCGAAACAGTCTTCCAGTAATTCGTGGAGTCCGTTGGGGCCCAGGACAAGGATATCGGTGCTGCTGCGGTGTTAATAATCGAGGTTGAATTACGTCTGCGACTCAGGCTAGTTTCCCTGCGGTGAAATATTTATCTGTAAGAACTCAACAGTAACAAAATGTTCAATAAAAAGCAACTATATGTACAGTGTACTTGAATTTACCTGGGATTATATCTGTTAGAGTGGAATTCCTTCACGGCTTGACAATAAGTCAGGACAAGGAAATGAACGTTTCTTTTAAGACTTAGTTCTCTTTATTTGGCGAAACCTCCCTGGGCAATCTGATTGCTGTTAAACAAGATTTATATTTATCTTTAAATTTATTGCAATGCGTGTCATGTCCTATGCCCTTTTCTCCACAATAAAGGTTACAGTATATAACTGTAATGTACTTTTTTTATATACATGCATGTACACCATACCTTTTAATACGGAAATCAACAATGTCCCATCACTGGGTCTCCATTGGGCTCATTATGAAATTATCTTACGTGATAGTTAATTCCCTTGAAAAGGACGTGCTATCCGAATTTTTTTTTCCAAACTTTGGCACAATTGACATCCATATATGGGATACTGCAATAAAAAATGGGGCCATCGTGCTTGTTTTCACCCACCGTGCCCGTAATTCTTAGCGTTTTTTTCCTAGTTATGTGCAAAATGTTGGAAACTTGAATAGCTATCAAAAATTCCTATCACACAACAAAAGCTATGGATCTTACTAAAACTTAGAGCCTCTTAGTAAAAGTGAAAAGGACAGTTTTCACGTCATTCATATCCAAATAATACAACTTCTACTCTCCAGATTTTTTTCTTCTTAAGATATATTTTTCGTGTAGCCATAGCGATTTAAAAACACCAATAAAAAAGCGGGGTGACCGATCTCGTTTCATCGCAAAAAGACCACAAAGGAACAATTTCGGCTTCAAATGATCATTTTAAGCGACTGGGCTTGAGCGAGTTCCAACCGTTTTAGCTTGGAAGAGTTATCAAAATCGCTATTAAAAGCATTTGACTTGAAAAGGAACCTTTGTTGTCTCTCTTTAGGCGACCAGTGCAAATCACCGCCGCCTTGGAAGTCGCAATGTTATGCTCAGTACAAAACAAAGGAATTGCTATTAGTCAGTCTGGGAAGCTATCATCCCCAGGCTATTATTAATTCTGAATAATACACATGTCTCTGTGGTCAGTGGGAGGGTGGGTGCGGTTAGTGATTGACTGTGCTATACGGTTTTAAAGTATATTTATCCTAGTGAATGGCTTAGAATGAAGAGTTCCTTTTTTAGGCTTTGCTAAATTTATATGATGAGATATGGATTGTGGATTCTTACGAAGCAGGAAACTGAGGCTGATAACAACCCTCTAAATCTGGAGTTTTTCATATCCTACAAAACAAATTCAACTATTGTTTATCATTCATTCAAATATTTGAAATACTGTCAAACTCTAATAAATATAAAAATAATAATAATAATAATACTAATGACAGTGAAATAAAGTTGCATGAATTAAGAATAACCCCTTTATTTACCCTCGACAGTATTTATAGCGCAAAGTATAGTGGGGCCGGTCAGTGCCTGAAATAATATCAACCAAACACAATGGGGTTGATAGCCCCAACTGACCGGGGCCAAATAACGCAGGTTTGTGGAGGATTTGATGTCGAAATTACCGTCAACAATTCCAGCTAGCGGTCAGAGCAAGACTTGGACTCGGGGCCTCCATCCTGCAACCACTTGGTCTCGCTACTACCACCTGTTCAACTAATGGCTAGTTCCTCGAGTAGCTTGTTAATTTGTGTTGTACTATTTTGCTGATTTGTGATCGCTAAACACTTGATAGACTTAAAATATTATACTATTGTTTTATACAGGTCGGGTACAGTGCTGGGAATGTATAACTTGGACAAGAGGAATGGAAATACAGGCACGCTAGGCAGATATTTTTGGAAAATAGAAAACCAGGAAAGAGACGGTGACATAAAAAGGTGCATCGATTGGATTACTTTTCAAGACGACGTGCTGTTTAGGTTTTGGTATGATCAGCAGTTTCGATCTCGACGTTTTAACCGGCGTTTGGCGTGTCCGTGCACTATATGGCAGGCATTTCTCGACAGGGGACGATTCTCTCCGGACTTTTCATACCCTTCTTCCAATTTTTGTTTTAGGTCCAGACGCTCCAGGATCTTTTTTCATTTCAGTAATGACCTTGGCCTTGTGTTTTTTCGGATAAGACAACTCTGCTGTTACTCGTTGTCTTTCAATGACTTTGGTGCCCTTATAACTGGTCCGCCGGACGGAAGTCACGCTATTGTTGAACCAATTTTTGGCGCTAGCGGGGTTACTACCGACAGAGACGCCGAAACATTTTGCTGTGCTGATCCAGATTTGTGCAGTCTATATTATTTTTATCGTCCAAGTGATGATTGCTTTTTTTACCGACCTCGTAGGAGACGTAAGTTTTTTTGTTGTGCTACTCCTTTCTTTAAACAAGGATGTCTTAATTAGTGCTAAGGCTGAAAGGAGAGTAACAAGGTTACTTTGTTCGTACGTAGAACCTGGAAAAATTGTTTAAATCTGTAGAAACTAAAATGCTTCGAAGTTACAGTGCGACTACCGTAGACAAAGTTGACCAATCGGAGTACAGGAAAATAACAATACTTTCCGATACAACTCACTTTGACTCTGAAGATGACTGCCGCACAGGTTGTCGAAACGTCAGTCACTGTCAACAACAACAGTCCTATTCAGGACTACGTTCACCCGGAGGATCAAACTCAACTTACTTTTGAAATGACTCCTGGGTTCAAACCTTTCACAGTAATACTTTCCGAGATAGTTAGCTGTCAATCGTAATCGAAATAAACAACATGGATCGAAATCTACAGACGAAGGGCTGTTGTGCCATGAATATTTTCCAATTATACTTGGAGAAAATCTCCTTAGGTTTATGAATTTATGGTACTAGTTAATGGTTAAAATGCATTTCGCGTATTTCCTTCACCGCCCAAAACTACGTTTACTGACAGGAGCGGTGCAGTATCCTAAGAGGTAAAAAAAGCTTGAGAACTCTGTTTATCCTAATTTAATACCTTAATTACTTGCTATGTTGTTCCAGGTTTGTTCTGGGGTGATCCACATTTTAGGACACTAGATGGTGGGAATTATACGTTCAACGGCCTTGGTGAATATGTAATGATCGACGCACAAGATGGGGTATTCCAACTACAAGCCAGGACAAGCCTTGCCCTACAAAATTCAACTACTGCCACAATTTTCTCAGCCGGAGCTGCTAAAGAAGAAAACACAAGTGTCGTTGAAGTAAAAGTGAAGAAAGGAGGTGAGACATACTCGGATACATAGTAGCAATCAGATTGTCTAAATGACCTGATTATTCTTTTCTGATCGGTCACACTGAGGCCACAAAATTCACACTTTGCTCACCGTGTGCTCAACGATTCAGCTTTTTTCAATGCAGTAGAAACCTACGTATAAGACCCTAAAATTTAGGAACCTGTTAGGCTGAAATTTTCATTTTAAACCCCCTTTTCATAAGAACCTGTTAAGCCTAAAATTTTCATTAGATTTTTATTTTACAAAAATGAAGGCACCCCTGAAAATACAGAAAAAAAATTTAGTCTAGGTTTCAGTCATCAAGATTTAAAGAATAAACTAAAATGAAAACCATATCATGTCTTTGCCAATACTGGATCACACAGTGCAATTATTAAGAATACAGATCTATGTGTCACTGCATGCAGCATGAAGGACATGCATGCTAGTACTTTGGAAAGATAAATTTACTGTATGGTAATCATCTAAACTGTATTCTAGATAATTATTTAATACAGCAATATATTCCATACCACATATACCCTGTAGTAGTTTTCTGTGCTGATCGCTAATGTCCCTAACAAATTAAGAACCTGTTTAAGAATTAACCTAAGTAGTCTAAAATCGCACTAAATACCATTTCTATAAGAACCTATTTAGGCTAAGTTGGAAAAATCTAGGTTCTTATACGCGGGTTTTTACTGTATCCAAAAACTTAAAGACATGTAAACGTTTTATTTTTTTTTTAGGTGGAATCGACATTTTGATTGAAGAAACAATTTACCCTAACTACGCCAATCTGACGAATCAAACCATAGATGTCGGCGGAAACCTTTCGTTCTCGAAACCAGAAGCAAACTGTGTAGAGGTTTATTTTCCCTCAACAACGTCCGTGCAGTTCTGCGAGAAAAGAGAAATGCTCTCCTTTGTGGTTACTCTTAGCGAAGATTACAGAAACAGCACCAGAGGATTACTGGGTACTTGGAATGATGATCCTAATGACGACTTCACATTGCCTGATGGGACGGTATTGCCTCCATCTTTAACATCAAGGAAAATTCACTTCGATTTTGGCGTTAAGTGTGAGTTTTTGATTACATATATGAAAAACCGTTTTCGCTTGAAAAGTATGAACACTGCCCAGTGGGACGTAATGGATTTATGGGTAGAACTTTTTTTACCATTGCACATTTAAAGTTCTTTCCGGAAAAGTTTACATTATCTAAACTTTCCGCGACGATGTATTCCAAAAAGCGTCAACTGACGACTTCCAGCTTTCTTGGCGATAAGCTGACAGTTTCACCTGTGCAAGGCACATCAGAGATCTCTATAGTTAAAGAGCGTAACCATATCGCTAACGCACACTTAAAAATCAACGTAAGATAGGATCGACGTAAGCGCTTTCTTGAAAGACATATAAAAGACAACGGCAACGTTGATTCGTCTGACAACTTTCTTTCTTGCATCGTGTAGTTAAGAAAAAAAACATCTTTCTTGTTTAACGCTTTTATTTTTTCAGGGCAAATCAATCAGTCTCAGTCATTGTTTACGTATGCTCAAAATGAAAGCGTAGATACCTTTGCGAAACCGGACTTTTTGCCTATGTTCATTGAAAACATAACGTGGTTTAACGCATCTGTGGAGAGAGAGGCCAGGACTCGATGTGGAGATGACATCGAGTGCTTATTCGACGCTGCAGCCACCAACGACGTGTCTATTGGACTGGTAACAAAAGATATAAATACTCAGTTTGAGAACGAAACAAACATCCTCGGTAAGTCACCTGAGGAATTGTGTTGCTAAGGGGAAAGGTGGGGGAGGGGGGGGGGTACTGCCATATATGGGCTAGATACATTTACGTATGTCCCGCTCCATGGGATGTGTCTTTTTTGAGGGTTTTGATCTTTTGGGGCATCATTTTTGCCCTTGTTCGCGTTGTTTTTGCCAGTGTTATCTTTCGATTCTTTGTGTTGTAATAAGATTTTTTCCTAAGCATTTTAAACTAAAAACAAACATCTGTTCACCTGTGGATTTTTACAATCATGCTAGTTAGGCACAATTGTAACATAAATGTTTTCGGCACGTTTGGCCCTGGTTGAAGTGGTTGACATCGGACCGAGCCACGCAGGTTTTTCCTTAATGTGTAATGTGCTTTATTATTTCCTTAAACCAAGATCTTAGTTGAATTCATCTTAATGGTGATCTACAATTGTGACAAACAGTAGCCAACCCGATTCCTCGAACCCTGGAAGAGAAAGAGAATTGTTTAGATAATGAGGAAAAACCGAGGGTAAAAATCATAAGGGAAAAGAAAGTCAATATTGGTGGGAATCGTCGAGAAACCGACAGTTCGTGAAAACAATATTCTAAAATGTTTTGTTCTCTACCGTAGAAAATTTTCCTCCAGTGATAGTAAATTCCTCGGATGTAATAAATGCAACGCTTGATGGAATTGTTCAGTTTAATATTACTGCGGAGGACAAAGACACTGTAAAGTTTGAAGTGATTAACAAACCTAAAAGTGCCACGGTAACACAAAGTGGAAACGTGCTCTACTTTTATTGGCCTGTATTGTCGTCACAAAAGGTACATAACTTTAAACAATCAGTGCGACCCAGTATAATCTGCTTCACAACCGTTCTATGGGTTGTCACGCAACGCTCCAGTGGGGTGGACCGTTCCGTGACTACCCAAAGAACGGCTGTGCAGCAGAGACTAGGGCCACTGTTACGAAAACTAAAGCGCGCGTAAAAGTTTGTGAGGTGCTTTGGGTTATAGTATCGCGAAGTATTGTTATTGGTTGTTTGTATTTTGGCGAGCCCGTAGCGCGACTCAAACAAACAAGTTGTAAAATACAATAAACCAAAACAACGAATAGCGTAGATACCGTAAAATTCCGAAAATAAGCCCCTCCAAATATAAACCCCCCAATCTGGTAACGCAAAATCGCTACGTTAAATCGTCCCTCCAGTTATAAGCTCCCCGGGGGCTTGTACTTGGAAAATTGCCCTCAAATACAAAGTAAAACAAAGCAAAAACGGTAAATTTACTTCCAACTATATGGCTAGCCCGGTCGATTTTGAAACGCAAATTTCCCTCCGTAGATAAGCCCCTCCGACTATAAGCCCTTCCAAAAATAAGCCCCTCAAAAAGGGCCTTTGAAAAATATAAGCCCCGCGGCTTATTTTCGGAATTTTACGGTATATGAAACAAGAAAGAGCGTCAACTTTAGCCGCTTTTCGTAGAATGGTTAGGCATGAAGAGAACTAATGAGAATAAAATGAATCCAAGTTATTTGTGATTAAAAGAAGCGGTGGGAGGAGGGTATATCAGCACTACCTTAACGATCACAGACCTCAGTATGAACTCCGTCAACCATAGACGCAACTTATTTCCCAGGGCCCAGTTGTTCGAAGGCCGATTACCGCTTAACCCGGGGTTAAATTTAACCCGGATTTCTCTTTCTTATGTTCAAAAGCATTTTCTCGGATAATTTTCTCTGTTATATTTAGAGCTTTCAATCATCGACTTGTACACAAGGTTTCAAATCTGAATTCAAATCTCGCACTAACCCTGGGTTATCTTAAACCAGCTTTGAACATCTCGGCCCAGGTTCACTCTCTAACCCTTTGGGACGGGTACGTGAGGACCATGGGAACGAGGTTGCCATAGACGAAGGCAGGAGCAATAGAGAAAGGCCCTAGGAGAAGGGATGACTAGAAGCGATTGCATTTGGGTAAACATAAAAACAGAGGCCAGATTTCGTTTAGTCAAGTTTATCAGAGTTTGTATGAAGGTGTTTGCTTTAATAATCCCGAATAATTTGCATATGTGACAATGATATTACCAATAATAGATGTTTCTTTCAGTAATTTATACTTTAAAGCTCGAAGTTAACGAAAATGATCAAATTCATTCAAACTGCTGTCACCTAACCAAAAAAGTAAATTCAGATTTTTAATTTTTGTTTTTGTTGTTACTTTTTTTTTGTCGCTTTTCTCTGGTCAGTTCAATCTATCAATCGTTGCTACTGATGACAAAGGTGCAAGCGCACTTTGGAATCCAACAATTAGGATGTGCGCCTGCAACAACGATGGACCGTGCATAGAGCCAGAAGAGGGTGATTCCATCAACACCGACATCAAGTTTATTTACATGGGATGTGCATGCCAAGGAGGTTATACGGGAAGGTTCTGCGAAAGTGAAATTGATGCCTGCGAATTGAATGGTCAGCCGTGTTACATAGGAGTTACATGCATTGATCTTGACCCACCAGCAAATGTCAGTGGATATATTTGTGGGCCCTGTCCGACAGGATTTACCGGAGATGGCGCTCAGTGTTTAGGTGGGTATGGCTATTGTGATTCAAATTTATCCTCCGTTTAAATTTTGTGTTCCCTTGAGTTTGAGTATTTTCATGAATGATAATGAGTTTAGTGAGGAAGAGAGACAAAAAAAGAAATTTTTTAAACAAGAACATAGCGTTGTTAATTATAATTTTATTACGCGTGCCAGTATGACTTCAAGAGACCTCTTTAGCACGAAATAAAGCCTAGTAAATGCCCATCTAAAGAGAAAAAACAGGGCCAGGAAAGCGAAAGAAGATAGGAGGAGAGAAAGCGAAAATTTGAAAATTTGCATTGTTCGTAATGAAAGCTTAAATTTAGCATCAGGGGCTGAAGGCAGCGCAGTCCTCGACATCGAAAAGGAATTTGGGGCGGTATTGATTGTTTATAGTCAGACAGTTAGACCAGAAAACGGCTCGAACAACTGCAAAAGGCGTTACTTAATTCTGGCAAAATTCCGAGTAGCTTATGAATGGAATGAATTGAAACATTATTTGAGCCCTTGCAGAAGGATTAAACACCTACCATGTTGGGAAATGCTGTAACAACATAAAGGGTATGCATTAAAAGACCTTAATAGCCCATTTAAGGAAACTTCTCTAATATAAAACCTGTTAGCGTTTACATTATCGAACTTTTTCCTTAGACATCGACGAATGTCAAACTAGTAACACAAACAACTGCGAGCAAATCTGTGTCAATACAGCGGGATCCTACTATTGTACTTGTCGCGATGGATTCACCAGTAAAGCGGATAAACAAAGCTGCGAAGGTGAGAAGCTTTACTCAACAGAAACTAATACCAGGGGCGGATCTAGGGGGAGGGTGCAGGGGGTGCGCACCCCCCCCCCCTCGAGATGACCTGCGGTTTTTTAATACAACTGGTATTCTGCAAAAAAAAACTATGTGGTTTATTGGTGTTAAAGTAGAACAAGAGACGAGTGCACCCCCTCCTAAAAAAAATCCTGGATCCGCCCCTGAATATTCTAAATGGGACTTCTGCTAAGATAACGTTGTTAGCACATTCTTTTCACAAAATGACAAAACATTATCTATCTAAAATTGGATTAGTCTCGCCAAAAGGTTTTCAAAGGCATATTGTAACAGCCGTTTTTGTCTGCGTTGCGTGACGAGACGAAAACGGCGGCAGCGTTGCAGATCCAAAAAAGGCAAGGATGGCCGTACAAAGTTGAAAAAGATTACAATGGATTGCACTGATTGTAGTTTTTGAAAAGCTGTCTGCCTAACAGGCTTTTCAAATTTCAATTTGTTGTTTTTAGCTTTGCCGATATAATACTTGGGAAATATTTGGGACTTTCTTGGGATATTTGTTTGACATGAAGCTGTGTTTGTATCATTTACAAGTAATTTCTTCGCTAACGTTAGGTTTCATAGCGAATAAGGACGCGTAATTTTGGCGTAGCCCCTTCGTTTATTTGTTGATGGAAGCCTTAAATGCTAATTTATCTCTTTGTTTACAAACTGTAACGGAGTCATGTGGACACACCCTAAAAATAATGACCATGCAATCAATTACATTACTAGAATGTCTTTATTTGCTGTATAGATGTCAATGAATGCGAGCCATCAAATGACTGCATGCACCAGTGTGATAACACGCCGGGAAGCTTTAACTGTTCTTGTAATGAGTTTTTCGTGGTAGATCCAGCAGATTGGAGAAAGTGCGTGGGTATGCATTGTATTTCTTTTTTCTTGTCTTTTTGTCTGTAGTAACACCCATTTATTTATTTGCCATGGGAGGTTTTCTGCCAATAGTAAAATTGAAAGCGAAAATACGTAACCGTTGGAATTTGACTGATTATATAATCGATCAACGGGATGATTTCTGATCAATAGTTTTGTTTTTCTTACTTTTTAGCAACGAACCCCTGTTCTCCAGATCCTGGCTGTGACCATGTGTGTTTCAGCGATGCCAATAATCAGCCAAACTGTGACTGTTTTGCAAACTTCAAACTTCAGAGTGATGGAAGGACATGCACAGGTACTTGATATTATAAGGATTCTGCCTTTGTTGATAATGAAGGCGCGAAACAAAGCCGACCTGGCAGAAGTGTCAATCATGTTTCGTAACTAAGATATATATTATGCATAACAAAGAATATATATATATATTATGCATAATATATATATTATGCATAACAAAGAATAAAAAATTATTCAGCAGAAAAAAAGGCAAAACAGTAATTTAAGTAGTAAGGAGGGATAAATACAAGATACGTGTAAGTATTGTAATCATTACCGACAAGAAAGGATAGAGCTTTATCCTCTCTTGTTACCGAACCACCGTAACAACATGCTCCTCGCGATCGAATAACTGTAACAAATTCTTCCAACCCCTCTCGTGTTTGTATCAGGCTATGCAAACACGAAAAACGTTTTCTATTCCTTAAATATATAAATGGATGCCGCGCTTTGACTAAGGGCTGTTGCAAGCAATCCCCCCTCCCTCCTGTCACCCCCATAACGTATCCTAAACAGGCTTACGAATATTTTTCTCGTATACACTAGATTATTCCTTACCCAAAATCCAACTTTACGTAGAGACCAGACGGTTTATCAGTCAAAGGACGACAACCCGTTTCAGTACGTGGGTCTCAGGGAACTCATATTTTCACCACAAAAAATGCACAGAATCCAGAATCGGTTTGCTGCAGCTTGTAAATGTCGCTCATTTTCACACACCCGCGCGTCGCCTAGGTTTAAGCACTACGCGATGTCTTCTGTGCATGTTAGCTCTTTAGCTGGGATATACTTAAATTAAGCATTTTTTCTCAGACATTAACGAGTGTGATCCGGCTACGCCTCTCCATCGTTGTAGCCATATCTGTCAGAACATCCCTGGAGGATATAATTGCTCTTGTCCAGGAGGATATCGATTATCCGACGATGGGTACACTTGCAATGGTAATGTTTTGGTCTTTTTTTCCAATAACTAAGTACATTTGTACGTTAAGATAACACCAGCAATGTGAGTTCTCCCTTATTTTTGGAGAAAATTTCATTTTGTTCTAGTTCTCCTAGCGAGACTGATATTGCCAGTCAATCATATGCCCCGAACACACCTTTGACCTAGGCCTTAACGCCCTTGAGTACTGCTAAAACCTACCACGGTCAACTGTCCTCAGGACAGAAACCGTATGGGCCACTTGCCTGTCCTATGGGGAGTCGAAGGAAATTTAGCCTTAAGGGTCCGATATGGGGCTACGAGGACGAACTCTTTGTCTCTGTTAAGAAGGCTATATTTCCATCTTATAGGGGTGTCTGACACTGTATTGAATGGTTGTCAGCCTAACAGAGCCAAAGAAAATTCAGTTCTAAGGAAGCGTTAAGGATCACCGTTTTAGGGAACGTATCCACCGTTTTGTCTATTTAATAATTAAACCACGAGTGCGCGTTGGATATTTGGTGGTAGTAGCCAACAAGGAGGCGCGTAGGGCCTCGTTGGCCGATATCATCTCATATCCAACAAGCGCGAGTGGAATAATTGTTTTATTAAAAACGCCCATAAAATATCGAGAATCAGGCTTCCCGACTTTATTTGTTAAAACAACCGATTTTCGGTTTGCTTTTCATTTTTGAGCAAACGCGTACAGTTACCCTATTTTGAAAGCACGATATAATGGCTCATATACCATGATGGCTAAGCCAATCAGAGCTCTAGAATCGCATCATCCAATGATTCAGTTTTTCATAATTCCAAATCTCCCATAATACGCTTTGTTTATTCCCCCTGCCCCCAAATTATGCATAACCTGTTGTTTTGAAATGCTCCTGAGAAAATTGGATATTCCGTAGAGTATTGAAAACAAAACTTTATGCAGCATTTAGGGCCGGGCGGGTAAACAGAGTGCAATATGGGGGATTCCAAAATAGCCAATAAAGATGTTCTTTAAGTTAGTGTTCAAATTGGCAAAAAGCTGAAGTATTCCACATTTTTTTTACTTTCCAGATATTAATGAGTGTGTAGATGACAGGTTGTTTAACTGCACGGACGTTCAAAGGTGCATCAATGACATCGGTACTTACAGATGTGACTGTGGAGAGAACCTTTTCTTTATTGATGGACAATGCAGAGGTAATGATATAATGGGGACACATATGGTCAATTATTTGACGAACCGTATCTTTATTAGACTTAAGATAAACTTTCGATTAAAATATTCCAAGAAGCCTTCAGCTTGAGATTGGAAAAAATACTTTATTCTATGAAGTATTACTACAGTCACCTTCAGTAACGTGTTTGTCGCCAGAGACGGGTGTAGAAAATCCTCGACCGAAATCGAAGCGATGATCTTCAGAACTCTAGTAATCGTTAGCATGAGCTAGATCTGACTGGGAAAAATCGAAAAAGCTTTCAAATAATGAGTGTCCTTGAATTGCCGGGTATAGAGATTTTTGCTATTTAAGATTTCATGGCCACGGCCCGACACCTTTTGAACAGTCGAATGGGGCTTCACTGAAGGAAGAAGATAAGGAAGTTAAAAGCCGCGACGTGATATTCACTTTATTCCTTATATGAAATCTGCATTCTATTACATTGCAGTTGGAATGATAAGACATCTATGTCTCCAAATAGTATTCTGAATGTTGACTTATCTTATTTCCTCAAGTGTACAGGACTTTTTCAAAGATTTTAGAAAATAAGAACCTGTTTCAAATTTAAAGCTAAACAGGTTCTTGTATATAAGGGTCCTAACTGGCAAATTGTAGCCTAACAGGCTCCTAAAAACCAGGTTCTTAGCCGTGCGTGTTTATAACAGCGATAATTGTTATTACGTCATAGCTCTGGAGATAAACGAGACAATCCCTACCCCTCCGCTTGCTGAGCCGCGAACGCCATCAGCAGAAGAACAACTGGAGGCGGTGCAGATAACCGTTCTTTATAGTAGCACTGTAAGTATTTTTTCTTGTATTAATTGTTAGTAATTGTGTGTCTTTCTTCAAACGATTTAATGCGAGAAAAAATATACATATGCCCCGCCCCCCGCCCCCCTCCCCATCATTTATGCAAAAAAGTGTTCGTCAATGATATCAATTATAAACTTCTTGAAGTTGGTGAAACTCACTCTTTAAAAAAATCACAGCATATATTTGGTTTGTGAGCAAAGGTTTATATTATAATGGTAAGTCAGTTGTACGTAATCTTAATATTGTACAAGGTGACATTAATAATGGTAATTGATGTATTTAGTCTGAAATCATACACGTTATTTCCATTTGAAATCGCGCTATGATTCAGAACAAAATTAAACGACACTCAGTTCAATCACCACTTTATTACAACCATTTTGAAATCACAGAATTCAAGCAGTCAGTACCAATATTTATTTGATCTAGTAGCCAGTTTGTTGAAGAGCGGAAACAAGGGGCTTATTCATCTTACTTTGTACCCGAAACAGAAATGATGGTAATAGAGGGCGAAAATGGTGCGATTTAAAACAGGAATAATGCAATTTAGAACATGAATGACGCGATTTAGAACAAATGTTATTTAGGGCAAAAAATCGTGTGACTCGTGAATAAATCACACTGCTGAGAGCCAGTCAGATTGCAGGGATCACCAGTGATTTCAAAATGGATAAAATATATCGCTGATATAATATAATTATTGCAGCACGAAAGCAATATTGCGGTGTCCAAGTTGTGTACCTTTCAGACCTACTTATCGGGACACTAACTATCTTTTTACTGTCTGTTTACTTGTTGTTTGATAGTTCAAATGGGATTATACAACAGACCAGGCTTTTAAAGAAATAATGGCGTCCGTTGCGTCCGAATATTGTAATGTGAACAGAACAGAATGTGCATTAACCGTTACACGGCAAGAAAGGTAACTTAGTTATTAACGGATCACGAAAGCTGTAGCTATAGCCTGCGCGCAGACTAAATTAAACTCTGGTTAACTCCGTACTAATTAGAGTTTAGTTATCGTCTGCACGCAGGCTAGAAAGCTGTTGTCGTTTACATTCAAGATCTAGGTTGCAATAGTTTTCTTGATAATTTGATAAAACTATCAGTCAAAAAACAAAATGGACTAGTTTGTTATTCCGCACATTTTTTCTTAAGATTAATATTTGTGTGTTTGATTACGGGCTCGAAAAGTTGCGGGGACTTATTGGGACACCGGCCCCCTGTGTGTCTTCACCTAGTTTACCTATGAACGCCGGCTTTTGCTTATTAACACGAGAGAGAGGGTGTTTCAAACGACATCTAAACACAAATAATTGGGTGGAGTAACTCGACGTTGTCTAAGTCGACTTTTTAAAGTTAATTGTTACTTAAGAAATTAACTGAGATAATTTATTAGTCCCTACGCAGCAGTCTTAGTGTTTTCATCGTACAACACTTGGGGAGGAACATTACGCGACGACAAAAAACGGCTACGAGTGATACTATATAATAATTCATTTATTTAATGTTTACTTATTTAATGGATTATAATAATATTGATTGATTGATTGATTGATTGATTAAGTCATTAATACGCCTTTTTTTTGTCTGTTTGTTTTTTTTTTTTTTCTCATCAGAATCGACCTCTATTTATCTTTGCGAGTTCATCTTCTCCCTGGTTATCCTAGAAACGTCTCGGGTACTTTGCTCGTCGCTTTTTACGTTCAGCAGCCAGTGGGACTTTTTATTGGAAACCAATCAGTACTCCCTAGCAGCGCACTAGTTGAAATTATTCAGCTTTATGAACGACAGATTGAAGCCGCAATTGGCGCCAATATAACTGGTGTGGAAGCTCTTTTCAAGCCTACATCCACACCTACAGAATTACCTGTCGCACCAACCAGCAGTAGTGATGACACCGTGTGGATTATAATTGGTGGTCTTGGTGGATTGGTCCTTCTACTTTTGATTATTTTAATTGTCGCGTTTGTGTATAGAAGGTAAGATATGTTGACATATAGGAATTAAGAAATATTGTTAATCAGTTTTTCATATCGTGCAGTTTAAAATGACAGTTGAACCTCCATTAAGCGGCCAGTAATCAAAGTCCCGAAATAACTGTAGAAAAGAATGAGAAATTAAACCTCTATTAAGCGGCTACCGTTTGTCCCAAAGAGAGTTTTCCCCATCAAGCGCGTAATACACTTAGTTTGACTTCAATTTAGAATATGATAAAGGAAAATACAGTCTGAGATAGAAGGTGACGACCGATTGTGGACCAGTAATGTTTCTCCCGTCGCGCGTTTGTTTAAAAAGAAACTGATGTTTCTGCCAACGATCATGGTACAGTCGAAACTCCCGACCAACAGGTAGCGTGGCCGAGTGGTCACTGACCACTGGTCAGCGCGTCGGACTCGCAATCCGGCTGTCCCGGGTTCGAGTCCCGCTCTGGCCACTTGCTGGATTTGTTCTCGGTCGTCCCGAGCTCAAATCCTCGCCCACGCTTGTAAATAGCCAACTGGTTGCCTCCTGCCAGTTGGGGTTTAAATCCTGTTATGTTGTATTTGAATTTCTTGTTTTGTAAGTATTCACTGATTGTAAAGCGCTTTGGATCACTAAGAAAGAAATTATTATTATTATTATTATTATTATTATTATCAGTGTATATTATTATTATTATTATTATTATTATTATTATCTCTCGACAGCGGCCACTTTCTTCTGGCCCCAAGGTGGCCGTTGTGGAGAGGTTCAACCGTAATTTACGACGAACCACCTCTATTGAGAGTCCACCTCCAATAAGCGGCTACTTGCCGGTACCCCGAGGGTGGCCGCTTAATAGAGGTTCAACTCACTGTTTGAGGTTTCCTGGAATCATTCGTGCTTGCTCAAAGCTGTTTTACAAAGAAAACTCACTGAACGCAAAAAAAGGACTTCCTATACAGCGTACTTAAGGTTATTCGTCTGAAATAGAAACTACAGGAAATTTTTGTCAAACTTACCGCTTAATTTCTTTGAACTCCAAAACTAAATATGATTATAATTATGTGCGAATAGACGTTTTGAACACGTTTTTGACGATTTGTTTTTTTCTGCTCTGAGAATTAGTCTACATTTTAGAGAGGAAAGCCACTGTTCATTTTCAAAGAAGGAAAAGTGATCGGACACCAAACTCATTTAAAAGAAAATGAAGATTTAACTCTCTTGATTCCCCTTATTGAGGCCCGAAGGGAAAAAAAATTTTTGGAGACCGCTCCCCCCCTTATCTCAGGGTCTGGAATCCGAATCCTTCCAATTTTTGTTGTGCAATGAATCCTGGCCTTTGGAATCCAGAATGCAGCTCAAGGAATTCGGAATCAAAGTAAGGATTGG